CAATATTAGGGATATTATGCATTGCAATATATCGGGCTTCCCTTTAGTGTGCGGCGGTGCACCGTAGCAATTGTTTGCGTGTACCATATAATATTGATATGATTTGTCAACCTTTCCTGGAAATAGATTGAGATCACGTTACAGTAATTATGCACCAATTAAAGTCTCTAATTAACTAGCAATTAGGCTGTAATTGCTTCTAATTGCCTTAATTTGGAATATAATTACTCCAAATGCTGGCTGTAATTAGAAGTTCTGGGTTTCCGGCTCGTTTGTACACAAGTGAAATGAGAGTTGTAATAATAACAATAATGATACATTCATATTAACTGGGCTGCAGGTTGTGTACCGAGAGATAGTTGTATAAGTGATCCTACATACTTACATACATCACAGTATGAGTGTACAAAGAAACTTTGATCTGGTTTGCGATAAAGAATTGTACAATAGACATCGTAATGTGGAACTAATATTCAACCTGCCGTTATTGCATTGTCCAGCACACAATATGGCATACCGTGTATTGTGTGTGAGAAATTTAGACTTGGTTCCGGGCACGGGCTCTAAATGTGGTATTCCATTTCAACCTGAAAACTATGTTGAGAACGTCATGTGATTGGGTGGTTTTCGGTTCACTGTTAAAGGGGAAGAGTCACGTGATCAATAAACACGGCTCATTTGTAATTATATACTAGGGTTGAATCTTCAACGGCGAAAATATTATCTACTATTGACGTTTAACTATTGACATTTTACTATTAACTTAAAACTTATATGAAGGATGGCTGTTATAACAGGTAAAGTAACCGTATATAAGATTTACTACCCGCCCGTACTTTGTGACTCTAAGTTATTTCGATTCCACAGAAACGATTCACAGCTGCGAGAATAGCATGAAATTTGGTCTTTGAAAGCAATAGGAAAAATTTAGCTCTAATCTCTATCAATTTGTTTTGTGTTAGAAAAGGCCAGCTTTTTATACATATTTTTGAGATCAACGTAAACTTTGGCCCGGACGGCACTATGATTTTTACAATAGTATAATTGTAGACCAATTGAAGCTACTTAGTTGTGATATTATTTAACTCCCTCGCAATTTCAGTTATCTCTGTCATACTCTTAAATCCGAGCTTTCATCTCGTCTAATTGCTTGAGCGGATCCATCAAATTAATTTTAGAGTTCTCCATAAATGGCTTAATTGCATTGATGCATGCTTTCCCTAAACACTTTGCATGTTCCTGGACCCAAGCCTGGATTCACCGTATGTGAGAACCTGTGCAGGGTAGGGGCCTAATTCTGATGCTCTAACTGTTCGAATAATGAAGTTTCTGCCAGGAAATTGCAGTACAGTGCACCATTATTGGAGTAAATTTCAGGGAGAGATGGGATCACTTCTCGGGCATCTCCGATGAAGGTTAATATCGCTATAATGACAGTAAACAATGCTATGGCCTAGCAAAATTACGAAACTGATCCGTATTGGGTCAAGTAATAACAATATCATTAACAAAAATCAGGTGTTGGCAGATCGTTATGCGGCACTTTCTGCCAACTTGATACAAACTTGTCAGATTGTAGTATTAGGAATTAGGATTCCAAATAATTGACAGAGGTATGCCCCATAGCTAGCTCCAATGGTATTTCGACTCCTTTGGCCGCGTTTAGTGACTAATTGAGGGCATTGTAATCCAGATATTACACGAAAACACCGTCCTTTGGGCTCCGAAATCGCATTGGGTCTTGGCCACTGGACAACGATTTGTAAATTAACGATCACTACTTACTGGAACGCGCGGTGAAATGTCTCTAGTAGAAACGTTGGTTTGGCCGCGCACGTGCGTACGTATCGCGACGTACGTATATATAATTTAAATTAATAATGTTATTGATATGACTTGATTCACGATGTCAATCCTTCGCAGCTCGGTGAGGCACAGTGGTGCATCTCGCCGATCTACCGAAGTGGTTGCGAGAAGAATTATTTGATGCGCGGCGCGACCCAGTAGTGCATCGCGCTACAATGATATGACGTACGCGCATCGCTTCTACTCATGTCACTAGCGCAGCAACTACTATGTATGCTAATTTGTAATATAAGGGGCCATCTACTTTACTTACAACTTAGGATGTCCGCCAAAATCGCAGATTTTCAGACCCTCTTACCTCCCCTGTCCGGGTGTGTCCGAATTTTCAAAACCACCCTGGCCCCGGACGGTTTTCCAGCTACTTTTAAGATTACAAATAGAATCAACTCAGATTCATTGTTAATAAAATTCAACGAGTTGAAACAAAATTCAAAGAGTTGAAATAAATGGAAATTTTTCGTTAATTCTGCCAAATTTCCGTATTTTCAGAAACCCCCAATTTAATAAAATGCCATGGAGCTTGTAGGTTACAACCTACCAGGACGCGCGACGAGTTGGACTCGTCGACGGCGTCCTGTACGGATGTGCCTGCAGGTTTGTAGCGCGATGCACTACTGGGTCGCGCCGCGCATCAAATAATTCTTCTCGCAACCACATATGCAGATCGGCGAGATGCGAAGGATTGACATCGTGAATCAACCTGCAGGTCACCGCGCTAAATACGATGGCATTTAGGCATCATAGGTGAACAATGATTTTATTGTATCACGTCGCGACCCCCATTGTCGTTTCATGCACTAGCAACTAGTGTGTGGTATCCGGATTCCAGTATCGTGGCAAAAGGCTTGACGGATGTTACTCGTCTAAATTTCTGCGAAGTAGCGCGCCCGATGGCAAGTGCTACGAAGTAGCGCGCGCCTTACTGGGCCGTGCTCAGCCTGTCATTCCGCCAAATCTTTATTAATGAACATAATAGCCTGGGGTCCTCAGGTAACGCGCGCCGGGCCACTAGTAGTGCATCGCGCTACAAATTCATGGCAGCTCGGCGCGGCACAGTAGCGCATCTCGCCGATCTAGCCATCTGTCGCTGTGAGAAGCCTCATTGAGTGCGCGGCGCGGCACAGTAACGCATCGCGCTACAAAAGCCATGATACATAATACAGCCTAGCCGCGCACTCGTGCGCGGCAGGTCTACAGCGTGTGACAATGATTTTACAGTTAATTTAAAGAATCAGATTTGTAAAAATAATGGCATCAGACGTACATGGACACTGGACAGAGCTGATATAGATATTACATTATTACCTGGGGACCCCAGGCTATTATATTTATGTAGGAGGTGCACGATAAAAATAAACTTGCTCGGATTTTAAAAATTTTTGTACCACTGTTTTCTAGAGATTGTGAGAATTTCCACAATACCAAATTTGTCATACCTTTTTGGAAAGATCAGTGAGTTTCGCCTAGGTGCCATATTTGATGGTGCGCGGCTTTTGGAGCAAAAGTAGCTGTAAAAGTCGCGTAATTTGACCAAATTCGTCCAAATTTGACCATTTTTGTCGTATTATTCGGATTTATCTTCAGTTCCTTAAATGAGATCATTCTGGAAATTGGCGACGACCTTCCAATAGGGCTTTCACAACTGTCCGAAAAATTTGGTGGATATCGGAGTTGATATAGTAATCAAAATGGGGCAAAATACGCTACTTTTAGCTGTAACATAATGTCTGATGGTTGGATATGCTTTAAATTTTTCGGACACTTTCCTTGTAAGTCTTTAAGTAAGCTTACCAATTTTTGTTGCAATTGGAGGTCGGGAAGGATACTCAATATCTATTTGTTTGAAGAAAATTGTGCTGGCCGAAATTAGCGCTAAAAAACCATCCTACAGTCGGCACGCGCGGCTCACTGTCGATGGCGCACTACCTAATTTATGTTCATAATCATAGAGATTAGGCGGCTTGACAGGCCGAGCGCCGCCCAGTAAAGCTGATACAGTGTAATCAAATCAATAATCACGTGTAGATTACTAATAAACACGTGATTACTTATATCATTATCTCAATTTGATTGAAATTGACGATCAGACGCGATGTCAACCCTTCCAGGATCGTTGCTCTGCGAAGCAAGAATGATAGTTTGCGCGGCGAAGTTCTCCAATATCTCAATATTTCCATAGGCATGGGTGATGGGATACCCAAGTCTTAATTGACGATGTCAATTCATGGCAGCTCGGCGCGGCACAGTAGCGCATCTCGCCGATCTAGCCAGGTCGCTGTGAGAAGCCTTATTTAGTGCGCGGCGCGGCACAGTAACGCATCGCGCTACAACCCAAGTCTAGCAAGGGGAGGCGTGACCCCACTCTTCAAACAGATGATGGAACAAGGAGTGCAGAGCTAGAGTGGTGAATGACCCCATGTTCTCTTCACTTTTTCTGGATCAGCAGACAGCAAGAACAGGACCTCCTCCGTGGGAGGCCTTTGTCATACGTTGTATGACCCGCCGCGCACGAATGCGCGGCTCCCCTGTATCGTAGAAACTGTACACTATAGTGAAACGACAATGGGGGTCACGGCGTGATACAAGGACGCCTCCTGACTCTGGGAGGCTACAACTCTCAGTTCTTTACAGGAGATTCAGATATCGCCTGGAGTGACGTATCATATCAGTACAGGAATACTGGCAGATAGATATGGAGGGTATAAGTGTTGAAGGAAGGAAGGGAACTGTCGCCTGCGATACGGACGTAGGAATCATTTTCAATTTCATTGTTTAAATTACAGATTTTATTTTGTAAACAGTAATCACTGTTGGTGCTTTATTACACTATAGAAGGCAGTATTACAGTGTTATGGTGGTAACACTAACATGAACATGCAAATAGGGCATTCCTATGCTATGTTTATTCAGAGACAATCGTTCTGAAATCGCGTTCAATCTCAAATTATTAGTATCATTTCTATTTTTAGGGCAAAGATTATTCCTTCACGAGTTCTGAGTACATAATCCCGGTTAAGACCAGCGGAGGAGTGATGTGCCTTTCAGCTTTTACCCCACAAGATATCAACACTAACAACAGAGTCGGATTTGCAGAGGCAATTTGAAAGGAAATTTAGAAGAAGAAAAAAACAAGATTCTAAAAATAGTTATGTTCAAATTCAAATTGTTTTTTGTCCCTTTCAAAAGTATCATTGTTTAGTAATTCTGGAAACCCTTGGGTTTGCATCCAGGACGGTCACAGCTGAAGATGGAAGCATCTATCGGCCATTTGTTGCCAGAGAAAGTGTACCATTTAGTATGATCGTTAGTTTCACATCCACTGTTAGGATGAATGAACACATCATAGATACCTCTGTGCTGCAACATCCAGATAGAAGTCTCCTGGAGCTTCTGAGGAGGGATGAAGAAAGAGTACTGAGCAGTGGTGAAGGGTCCTGCTGGTTCCCAGTCAACTTCAAATACGCACATGTCATGTCCTGGGGCGGGGTCTCCAGCATCCATTGTGCAATTCTCCCTCAGATTAAACTTCGCAATGAATCTGTTTCTTAAACCCAAAGCACCGGCAGTGTGTTTAGGACTGTTCTGCCAGAAGAGTACGTGGATGTGGTAGGATAAGGCCTCAGCATAATCACAAGACTTGTTACCTCCACTACCAGGAGACGGGAGGCTGGTTTTCATAGAATTCCAGTCATGTATGTGGTAATGTGCGTTGACACAAGCAGCCAGTAAAGTGATGAGAACCACAGCTATCATAGTCAGGTTAGATAGACGGACTAGTATAGGATAAGATTATAACAGAATTGAGAGTTAGTTCAAAGATGAGACGCTGACCCATGTGAGAAACGAATTAAAAAATCTGGACAATCCATCAAAACTTCATCAAACATCTGTTGAGATCTTTGACATTTAAAGAACAATCGAAGATCTAATCACGATTTTCTATTCACATACATTAAAAAAGTCATAATATTAAAGTATGAGAGTGAATACCTTATCGGACCTTATTTGGACGGACATTAATTGAACGCTGGAGGCCCTAACGTTCATCTTAATGTCCGTTCAAATAAAGTCCGTTCATTTAAGGTCCGTCCAAGTTAAAGTCCGTTGAATTTTTTTCAAACATTTTTCCACTTCGAACTTTTTGTCCAGAATATGACAACTATGAGAACTTGATTGTGCCGTAAGTTAACGAAGGAAAGGTTCTCCTTGGTCTGCCAGAGGCACAGAAAACTCTATTAGTATATGATGTTTTCAAGGGTCACTTGGCGGAAAAAGTCAACGAAATTATGGCACTCAACAACATAGTTCATGAGCTAGTCCCCGCCAACATGACAAACTTGTTCCAGCCTCTAGATATTACGGTAAATCGTGTTGCCAAGGACATTGTCCGACGTTGTTATCTTACTATATATAAAGCGAGACGATCCGTACCATTTTACTGACACCACGGCATCAACTTTAACGCGACTTTCCGCAAAAACCGTAAAAGATATACAACTGAAACTTTTTTGACTGGGTCAAATGCTTTAACGGCCTCCAAATCAGCATGAAAAAATGAAAAATTGGCCAATGAATAGGAATTTTAGAGCCCAAAATTTGGACCCCCAAGTGGTGTCAAAAACGCGAATTAAATAGGTAATAATTATTTTAGTCTCTTGAGTCTTGACACCATTTTAGGGTTATACGGGTTCCTGCTAGTATAACTATAGATAAGGTATGTGAATACTCTATTTTAATTACCTTTCAAAAGTGGGTACGCTCGGACGTTCGGTTCACGCGGGTAATTTTCGCTAGGAGTACCGGGAAGAGACATTATTATATAGGACTCACACAATTTAGTACACTGGTATTTGCAGAAAAGAAAAACTTGTTCATGCTTAATAGTACAACTTTATTGAAGAGTAATAAAATATTTTTCTAAGATCAAAATGTCAATAAGTTCCACGCCGTCTATTGTCCTTTGAACCCGCTAGTATATAGTAGCAACAAATGATAAAACTAAGTAAGTAAATTTGATAATAAATTTGTGTACTTAAAAAGGTTCTATACTGCGGTCGGCTGCTTTAATGTAATACTAATCTATTGAGTGTTGAGTATTGAGATTAAGTTACCGTTGTAAAAGGTTTTAGTAACAATAAATAGTTGGTTTTAGTAACAATAAATAGTATGTTTTCGTAACAATAAAATGTAAAAATAAAAATTGTACGTTGAACTTAAAACTGTTCTGTATTGCGGTCGGCTACTGCAATGTAATATATTGAGTGTTGAGTATTGAAATGCTTATATTATATGCTATTGTATAAAAATGGATTTAAAAATCATTTGCTGGCATAAAAAAAACGTCAAAAGAAATGAAAAAAATTCGGATTTTTGATGGTTTTGAATGCCTTCTAGCGTTCATATTAATGTCCGTTCATAATTATGTCCGTTCATTTAATGTCCGTCCAGATAAGGTCCGATAAGGTACAATAAAATATGTCTGTCCAATACAATGTCTATACACCCAACCAGCTGATTCGGTATTGATGATTCTTTGGAACTAATGTCATTGTCATTTTTATCTTTTTCATTTTAACATATTCAGAATCACGATTTTGGCTTGCATCCAGGACGGTCACAGCTGAAGATGGAAGCATCTATCGGCCATTTGTCACCAGAGAAAGTGTACCATTTAGTATGATCGTTAGTTTCACAGCCAGTATTCGGGTGAATAAACACATCTTGTACACCCCTGTGTTGCAGCATCCAAGCAGAAGTTTCCAGCAGATCCCCAGGTGGAATGTAAAAGGAGTACTGAGCAGTGGTGAAGGGTCCGGCTGCCACCCAATCCACTTCAAACACGCACATCTCATGTCCAGGAGCAGGGTCTCCCGGGAAGATCTCACAGTCCTTCCCCTCAAGTTCAAACCTCTTTACAAACTGCTCTCTCAGCTCCAGAGCACTAGCAGTGCGCGGCTTGTTGTTCTGCCAGAACAGCACGTGGATGTGGTAGGAGTATATAGTAGGAGCACCATCACAGTACCCCTCATAATCAGGGGGCTTGTAGACTGTTGTTAGGAGGTTCTGATCGAAGTTGTGTACGTGGGCCTCAAGTAGAACGGGTAGCAGAACAAGGTACAGCATCGCGGAGCGGACAAGGTACAACATTCCGGACTGATACTACAACTCAGCTAACAACTCAGATGGTTAACGCGGAGTGAGTAGCTGATATATTACATGCACGACACGCAACATGAGCTCTTCCATAGGAGTATTATTCATCTCATATAACATTGTGTTGCCAGATTCCCCTTAGTTGCCAAATTCTCTTAATCCCATGACTGAGATTCGCAGAAATTAGGAAGTGAATAGTACTCATAGCTCATAGCTTAAGGGGGCATTTCTCAACAGTTAGTAAATGTTTTATGTAATGTGAAGAGATCTAAATGAAATTGACGTTGTATTGCAAGATGGGTAGAAATAAAAGCTTGATATGATTTATTTCATATGAAATTGGAAATGTGAAAATGTGAAAATTTGTACTTAATTGCATAAAAATTCCTTTTAAAATACATATAACACTGTATCATTGGATAGACGCCAAAAAATACGAAACATAATCTTTTCACCTAAACAAAGTATATGCTATAAATTAAGTTTTATTTCTTTTAAATCTATAGTAAAAATAACGATAGACTCAACTACCAAAGTGATTAACATTGCATCATCATCAAAACAATTAAAAAATGCTTATATTAAAATTTAATAAAATTAATAGCACGTCATTACATTGTTATTCACAACAGCAAAATTAATAGTAAAATTAATATAAATAAAGTTTAATATATTGAACGCTAAAAACAAATTAGTCCACTTATTATAATCGATCAATAAAAACTAGAATAAAACATTCTGAGATGCATTGTTTTCTGAAATACGGCATTTCGGGCACCTTGGGGACACACTGAATATCAACAATAAATTAAAAAACAAAGTTAGTACCCCATCTGTACCTAGGAGAGTTTCAGTACTACACTTCTTTAACCTAAATTGTTGAAGGAGTCAATGCAATTATTAGCATGATTCTCAATTACATTTGGCAAGAAAGAATCTGCACATATAGGGCAACTAACCAACTCTACATCCTTCACCTTATCAAGACTCTCTAAAGTATTCCTAGCAGTGGTGGTTGAGGAAAGAGGCTTACAAATCAAAACATCGTCGTCATGATGCCGTCTAACACTGACCCTAGCGTTCTTATCTTTTGAATACTTCCTTGAAGTTCCAGGAGTTCTACTACTTCCAGGAGATCTTTCGTCGATTATCATCAAACTATCGGATAATTTTCTGCTTCTATTAGGGGAACTCCTTGCATCGTTTATGTCTGGGATTGTGATAAATTTCGGGCACAGTGCGGATTCAGTGGAGTTCCATTTAGATGTTGAGGTGCTTTTTCCACCATACTTTGAACTCGAAGGGGATTTGTCTAGAGTTTTTCCACGCCTAGAATTTGGTGTAGTTTTGTTTTTGGTGGTAGAGGTGGGAGATTTTCCAGAATTGGACGGCGTTTTTGCATTGCCTTTGGCACCAAAGGAACTGTCAATCCAAGATGGCTGAGCATTTGCCCTTTTGGGAGATGGCTGAGCATTCGCCCTTTTGGGAGTCCTCATTTTGTTCTTCCCAGACCCTGGTGAGATCTCTGTTAAGTTACGTTGATATAGTGACAAGTCGGGGGATTTGGTGAAACTACATCGTCCTGGTGATACTGACAGGAATCTGGGAGATCTGGAGGGTGATTTAGAGGTGGAGGGTCGAGATGGGGAGGTGGAGGGTCGAGATGGGGAGGTGGAGGGTCGAGATGGGGAGGTGGAGGGTCGAGATGGGGAGGTGGAGGGTCGAGATGGGGAGGTGGAGCGTCGAGATGGGGAGGTGGACGGTCGAGGTGAAGTGGTGTCGGTTTCTTGGTCGGAGTGTACGGTGAGGCTGAACTCTGGGAGGTTGTCCTCATCGCTGTTAACGTTTTTCGTTTTTTGGTTCAAGTTCCTGAAAAGTAGAGAAATGTAATAAATTGACTACTTTAAGCTACAATCGATGATCAGTAATTGGAAGGTAAATATCTACAACAAACATTTGCATACTTGTACAAACCTTTTCTTTCCAATCGTTGAGTCCGATGATTCAATTATTTGCAGCTTACTTTTTTTTCTTTTTCTTGAAGGGGTTGTCTGGAAATGGATTAAACTGATTACGCTTAAAAGATACACAAATTCATGCACTTCAAAATACGACTCAATTACGTCTTGCGGTTCCGATAATGAATAATTGCGTCGTAAGATTTCCATGCATTTGAACTAATCGAGTTGTGTCAAATAATTAAGATCATTACCTCTTTAAGTTTATCTTTAGTAAAAGATTTTGATTTGTCGACCGATTTGTTTTCCTTGTCTTCATCTTTAGTAACTTCGCTTTCTAACGAAAATAAAAATCTTATTAACACGAATCGTCAAATAGGATATCCTATTATTTGTTGAAGAAAGTCATCATTAATAACAGAAAAATCAGCGAACATTTTTGGTGAAATGCAAAATCAGTGCTAAATGATTAAAACGACTAACCAGTTGACTTTGGCGTCGTACTGGAACTAGTTTTTCTACTCGCTCGAGGACTTTTGTAAACAAACCCATGTTGTTCGTTCAAAGACGCGAAGTAATTGTTCCGTTTCGGGACATTTAACGGTTCTTTAGTTTTCATTCCTAGCCTGTGACATTTTGCAATTAAATTCTAGTTAATATGATTCAGTAAAATACACACAATTATTACACACGTGAGTGGTTTAAAAAGCGATTAATTTAATAAGTGATTGAACTAATACATAATAATATGCGAATTATCAAATAAAAATAGACAAATCAAGTTAAAACTGTACCGGTTCATTGGAGCCGACTTTTTCATCTCAAAGTTTTCATCGTTCACCGCATCATTGAGACTCCAGCCCATTTCATCTTGGGGTTGCTTCTTAGGAGACTGCTTCATAAACGAGAATTCTATCTCCTTTACTCTGAAACAAAAATTTAGCTATGTCTATCGTTTCAGGTTAGGGGTGGCTTACTGTAAAACATAATGTATAGTAATGTGAATTCAACATAATATTATAATCAATGCAGAGAGATTAAACACACTTGTTTGGGTCAGAAAGTCCAGGAGTTTGTTTCTGTATCTTGTCAGCGTAACACGGTTTAGTTACAACAAGACTTTCAATACCGAAGGGGTATCCCAGCCTGAATGGCTGCATCACCGTTACCACTAGGAATTTGAACCTTCTGAAGGAGTCGTCTGCAAAATCTGATCTCCTTAAGTGCGGAACTGTTAGAGTGTTTAGAGGTAGATGATAAGATTTGTAACAAGCAAGAAGGAGTAAGTTCCAAATAATGTAATCTGTGGGCACTGGGTATAATATGATCTGTTGGCATGGCACTAAGCATCAGTCGTAAACTCTGAACACTAATTTCATAGAATTTTGGATTTTTTTAAATAACTTTTTTGGGCTCTCAGTGATTTGAAAAGTACTCTTACTTGAACACATGGCTAGAGGTGTAATCAACAGGAACACTACTGCTTTTACATTCTTGTTCAGACATTATCATTCTCATCGGAAGTAGAGGAATTGGAATTTTCCCATCACTTATCATACCGTCAACCTGAAAGCGAGCAGATGTTGATAATTTATAATTTATAGTTTATCACAGCTTTAAAATGCCTAATTTTTGGGAGACAATTAATATTATACATTTATCACATGCCTTCTCATGCGATATCAAAACTTTCGCCCACGAGGCTTGCCGAGTTAGCGAAAGTTTCGATATTTCCCGAGGCTTGCCGAGGGTTATATCGACATTTTCAATCACGAGGCTTGCCGAGTTTTGAAAATGTTGATATCGCATGAGAAGGCATGTGATTAATGTTTTATCACACTTTCTTTGGAGCCAAATTTGGCCGGGAAAGCAGAATTTGATCAAACGTTAGTTATTATGTATTATATGTATATGTATATGTATAGTTCTCGATGAGTTAGTATTTCAGATATCGAAGATACAATACGTACAATTAGGATCTCACGTGCTCACATGTTTATGACACAGTGAATGCTGTATGTCGCGCTGAATTTGCTTTGTACTGCTACCTAGTGCATGCAATATTAATGTGTTTTCCGCCTATGGGTCTTGTACTTATGAGTCTAGAATATTCCGCGGCGAGCGCATTTGATACGTAATTTCATCCTGCAAATCAATTGATGTGAGGTGATTCTAATACTTTATTTCTATTAGATATTTTTAGAGTCATTAAAACTATAGATGCAGTATTATGTATAGAACATCCGTTTAAGTGTTGATTATACATCACAGTTCTTATCGTATAATCTGTATCTACGATGAGGTGAAAGAATTTCCTAGTTCTTGTATTTGAATAGAGCTGTGGGGTCATAATTAGTGTCTATTTATCAGTCCACATTATACACTACACTCCCTAATTTACATCAACAATATTATCGTCCGTCTTGATTCTTGATTGTCTGTTATTTCAGAATGATTTAATCAATGCAACTTGTAATCGTTGACTTAGAATTTTATCAAGTATTCTGCTTAGTTCTTAGTCAGTATTCATCTTTACTTGCCATTATTTGCCATTATCTGCTTCGAGCTAGAAATTATCTGAACTGGAAATTATCAGAACATTTGTAATATTCAAATGTATCTCTTCAACATTTTAGAACGCAGTACTCCATCAGCCTATAACCACCCTGGTCATGGACAGGTAGTTCACCCGTACTGTTACCAATATTGAATTGGTCTAATGAATGGCAGCACATTAATCATCTGACCTGTTTGCGCCAGTGCCCAGACTAATTTATAACCAGATTAGCTGATTAAGTCACGTCATTCGTCCCTTGATATATTTATATAAATAATATATTTTATAGGATGTTTTTATTGCACTTATTTCCACTAACTAAAATTCAGTTAAAACTAGTCCTGGGATAGAATTTCCGCTCTTTACTGTACAGAATCTACATATAAGTCTCTTTATCAGTCTGTTTATAGATCAGCTACGAATTTCGCAAGCTGATCTAGGCGTAACCGGTTTGGAAAAGCCAAGTATAATTTCTGCACAATTTCTATATGGAATATGGCTCAAAGAAGGGATCAGAGGGGGTTAAAATTGAGGTCTGAAATGGCTGAAATCTGGCTTTGTTTTGTGTGTTTTCTTCGTTCGAATTAATTAAACATCGTCTAGTGTTTGCTATTTTTTGTGAGGGTGACTGTAGTTTGTTCTGACACTTCCTTTTTTATTTCAAGTAAGCGATTAAGGAAATTAATGAGCCTGATTGATTGTATCGCTGACAATTACCAAAACTTTGTGCAACTTTCAAGTCTGCTTGTAAACTTTGATCTCGTTTTCAGTAACCTTAAGTCGCTTGGAACTCATACAAACCAGGAAGTTTTTACTTTGTTTCATCATCCGAAGCCTAATTAGGTTTTGAACTATGAAGTGCAGTAAAAAAACAACAGCTTGAAAAAGTTTTACAACAAAAAATTGTATTTTGCTTAACACATCTCAAACGCAAGGAAATGTTTTTAAAACAAGGTATAAATATATATTTTTCCTGATTCTGGAAAGATTATCTGATCATTGCATTTACGGTCATAGACTACTTCAGGTTATTGATTTAAATCTTAATTTAAATCAGTACCTCACAGTAGTAGAACAGTTGTTGAGAGTGAGTTCCTTGTTCCTATGGGAATATCGGACTCTCTCTGAGCAACTTATTGATATTTCATGACCCAGGGTGAGAGCCAGTGCTCCCCATCGGGGCATGTAATATCAATTCTGATCTCTGCCTTATTAGGCTAAGAAGTACAATAGAAAGTCAACATTGGGAGGAAGTTTTACAAGGAAAGTTTTTATTTCGCTTGACGCATCTGAAACGCAAGGAAATATTTTAAGTTTTAGTATAAGAATACATTTTGCCAACATTAACAAATTCTCTCCGACCATTGCATTTAAGGTCGTAGACTACTTCAGGTTATTGATTTAAATCATTATTTAAATCAGTACCTTACAGTAGTAGATCAGTTGCTGAGAGCGGGCTCCTCGTTTCTATGGAGCACTCTCTGAGCACCTTATTGATATTTCATGACCCAGGGTGAGAGCCAGTGCTCCCCATCGGGGCATGTAATATCAATTCTGTTCTCTGCCTTATTAGGCTAAGAAGTACAATAGAAAGTCAACATTGGGAGGAAGTTTTACAAGGAAAGTTTTTATTTCGCTTGACGCATCTGAAACGCAAGGAAATATTTTAAGTTTTAGTATAAGAATACATTTTGCCAACATTAACAAATTCTCTCCGACCATTGCATTTAAGGTCGTAGACTACTTCAGGTTATTGATTTAAATCATTATTTAAATCAGTACCTTACAGTAGTAGATCAGTTGCTGAGAGCGGGCTCCTCGTTTCTATGGAGCACTCTCTGAGCAACTTATTGATATTTCATGCCCCAGGGTGAGAGCCAGTGCTCCCCATCAGGGCATGTAATATCAATTCTGCATTCCTGCCAAATTTGGCTCGAAAGTGTGATAATATCATATTTATGATGAACTGGAGTTCCTGCAGGGTAAAATCTGCGTATTTGTATCGACTTGACAAATGATAAAGTTTTCGGTATTGCAGATAAATGGGTAAAGAACAAATCAAATAGGACAAATCCCCAGACTTCAGAAGCCCCGTTTTTCTCATCAACATAGGTAACCGAAAGCACTCCAATGGACATCTAAGATCAGAGCAGCTCCAGTGGCGACGAGAGGAAATCGAGTGTCCTGGAAGCCATGTAGGTACACAGAGAAGGAGTCTTTAGAAGTTTCAGCGATGGCAGAGGATCCGGAGATCAGAGAGCTAAGAAAGGTAAGCGCTTTGGCGTGATCAGAGTTCAGATCAATAGTAGTCGTGATAACGGGGGTGTCAATAAAATGACACCCGGAAATATCCACCGTCGTCTTGACAACGTTGGTTAATCCTCCAAATAGGGCCGAGGGAAGGTTCGGGTCAATGTGCACTGTCTCCCAGGTGGTAGACTCCCGACCAGTGGTTCCAACACATGTTGTGAGACAGGGAGCAGCACCGTGATCACCGTGACTGGACATTATCATGAGATGGTATGCGGTGGTTAGATCCAAGAGAGAATATATGAAAAATAGCCAAGTTAACATTCTGAAGGAATTCCGGGGACGATCAGACATGGTTGAGGCGAAGTTGAGAGTGATATGACATATTTTGACTTCTGGATTTGTATTATTATTTTGAAACGTGGCAATCAACTTAACTCAAATTAGCCAGATGGCTGCTTCTTTTAAGTTTACCGTTAATCAGAGACGTTAATTATTGTAGATTAGGATCATTCTCTTTTGTTTCAAGGGAGCAGCTGCTTTTTAGTTTGATTATTTTCACGTGCGTAGGACTCACTCAATATCTTTAAAACTAGTCTGAGTCAGTTGTCAAAGGTTTAAAATTAAAAAGCGTTTATGATTTGTGGATTTGACTGACTCGCGAATGACAGCTGCGATAAAGTGGCACAATTTGGACCATAATAATTCTATAAAATCGGCTCTGTTTTTAGATTCAACAGTAAGGCACTGATAGCGCGGTTAAAGATCCTACGTTGAAATTTATGAAAGAGCACGATAAGTAAGAGCCCTCTTAATTAGGGTTGTTATAATTAAAATCACGTAGTATCTGAAGCTGTTCTAGTGTTCTCTTTTAAACGCATATCCCAAGCGCTTACTAGTCATTACTAAAACAAGAGCGTTTATAAATCAACATTCTTATTTTATGGAACAATTGATTTAGAAAAAATATTCTGTCTCAAAATCCCAATAAGTTCAAAAAAATGAATAGAATTAGAATCAAGAGATGGCTGAGTTCTTCCCACGGTCATGGAGAAATAACCTGCCGTGAACCAACACCCGGCCAACCAACGCGTCAGTCTAATAAATAAATCAGAACTGCACTCGAAGTGAATCAAGTTGAGGGCCCAAATCTGATTAGCTAGTATGTAATTGGATGAATTTTATCAAAATTAACAAGTTGTGAATCGAACATGAATAATTCATGAAGCATAAATATTTAAAATATAAATCGTCATATAAATCGATTCAAAACTCTCTCCATATCTGAGTCTTGCTCAATCTTCAGATAAGTCTGTTGTCTCTTCAAATACTCAATCAAAGAAAGAGGTGACCATAAGTTGGTAGGTTTTGGTTGCCCTGTCAGAAGAAGTGCGTCTAGCCATGCACCACACATTAACAACCTGTCCCACCTCAACAACTTGTGGAGCTGTTACTTTGATGAAGATGTAGTACAACCTGTCCGGGTCAATGACACTGTGTACTCCACTGCTTGGCCTCTCTATCTTTGTCTCAAACCCGTCCTTCAGTCGGTCGTTCAGGCACCACAGATTGTACTCCCCGGTCTGGAACTTGTTCTCCAGCGACAAGATTATACGAGTATATCTGCCTGCTTTGATCGTGAATGCGCTCGGTTTGATAATTTCCGTTTTCAGGCAGGTTGTTGTTGGTTTAATTTCATTGTTGCGAATCCTAAGGAATATGTTGCCCGCCACTGTGGTACCACGGACCAACACCTTGAACGGAACTTTTGGAACTCTGATCTCCACAAACCATTTATCGGTGTCCTTTGTGTCCAGTTTATAGACTTCCTCTAAAGATCTGCCATGAAGTATAACCTCGATCTTGCTGGTGTCATCAATGGATTCTCTCTGTGTTAGAGTCACCACAATTTTAGCCGTGTCGCCAGCGCAGGGCTCCTTCGTCCGCTCAATGTTCCCACTGGAAGCGGACGTCTCGAAATCCACGTCAAAACCTATGGTGAAATCTCCGAAAGTTTTGGCGGAGAAAGTGTAGGGGTTGTTAAAAGAGTAGGGCACTTTGATCTGCCACACACCCACACAAGGACAGTGGACTGCATAGTGGACAATGTTTCCGAATCGACTACCCGTCCCTAGGTTTTGAATGTTACAGTTTTCTTCAGGTCTTGGAGCAATTGTGACACCGTCTAGCAGCCGTCTATCTGCGTGATTGTCGAATCTTACTGTTATTGATAGTCGACCAACTGTTTCATCCACGTAGAATACAAGGTATGAATAATCCGCTTGTCTTCTTCTCCTTAGGTGGAAGCTTATGTCAAGCTCACTTTCCGTGTCTCTCTTTTGTCTTATCGGTTCTTCCGTCCAGTCGTCCCACTCATCCGTCCAGTCGTCGTCCCAGTCGTCATAGGCAATGTACGAACCTTCCTCTGTAGCCTCAGCTACTATATCCGTCATCTTGAACAGCTCGTCATCCTCGAGTCTGTAGATGCTGCCCCCGGTAGAAGCAGCCAGTCTGGTGTAGTTACCGTCCACTTCATCTCCACAGGTGCCAGTTAGGACGAAGTTCAAAGTGTGATAGAATTCTATAGCCCAATCTTCCACGCTACTCACAAGAGATTCGGTGCAGTCCTTGCTGGAAGCGTCTGTGAATATGAAGATGGGAGAGTCGCTGGACATGTCACTGTACGATAACACCTGCTCGATAGCCTGACATGTCATCTCTGGACAGTCCCCTCCCATGGAGGCCACTATTTTATTGTTGATGTGATTCACAGCTTGAGTGGGCTCCCAATAGGAGGTCGGATCTTGATAGTCAGGATCTCCGTAACTCATGATCACAAAGTTGTAGATAATGTTGTCGTAGTAAAGTTCTGTTTTCAGGAAGTTCTCCGTGATTCTAGATACCTGAGATGATTGATATAAAGCTCCTGCAAGTTAATTGAATTCGTTGCGTTTGAGGCCGTATACAATTTTACAATTTAAAATGTGCAACAGGATAAATTTAAAAATCTGAATAATCGAAATATTGTATGGTTATTGAATGAATGATATAAACGGGAAATACAAATGTACAGAAATATTAAGAAAGTACCTGATCAATGTCATCAGCCATAGAGCCGGTGTTATCAATCAGTAAACCTAGAGAAGCAGGGTTCCACAGGTCCAACTGTTCCATGATCTCGTCAGCAGTCAGTGAATCTGACAATTCCCCATACAGCTCGTCCCAGGCACTCCCACTGGATCGTCCTAAAGAGCTCTGAGTCTTCTCTCTGCGCTTCATGTAATGCGCGAGCGCTTCAGCGCAGATACGGCGATTTAGATCTCTGTCCTTGCAGTTATTGAGGGCTTCCTTACAAGCGGCTGCTTTCTTCTCGGGAGACAGTTTCCCAATTCTAACGTTGTCAGCAGTGTTTTTCATCTTCATCAACACTTTCTCGGCACTGTTAACTAAACTGTTCTGTCCTTGACGTCCGGATATAGCAGCAATCCTGCACGGGTCGGCTTGTCTGCCGATTTGATCGATCTTTGGCCGGACTCGGTCCGCATGCTTCGATCTTAAAAGCGTCTTAAATTGTGCAAATTCGTCGGCCGCATGTGTGCTGTAAAAGCAAAGTACAGCTGAAGCAAAATAAAGGATCATGGTAAACAAGAGTGAGGATGAGCAATGAGGGTCGCAGTTTGGCTCAGGTTTATAAGGTGTTGAGTTACATTGGGTCTGATAACCTAGCAAGGAAGTTTCCTTATCTTAGTGTATAAATTAGATTTTCAAAAATAATCCATTGCGTCAGCTTTGCGTCATAACATATTCCTCTCAGAGCCGGTGGCAGTTCTCCAAAGATTATAAATGGCATACTTGATTAATTGATGACATCTTTTGAGTAATCTACGGAAGGAAACATTTTATTGACTGGTAGCATGATGTAATATTAAAGGATGGTCTTTATCGTAATTTGAACTAGAATACAGTACTTATTGATTGAACTTTAATACAGTCATACAGTACTCATTGGAATTTATTTTGCTACTAACGAGTTACTAAGACATAAGCTCAAACGGTTATTCTAGTAACCCTTAAAAATAAAATATAAAGGTTACCGCATGCGTGATTTATCAGTGCTGCTCACTTTAAACGATAATATATGTTTTTTCCAGGTTGACGGTAGTTTTAGAAGCACTGATGACCCTGTATCTCAATATTGTAGAATCAATTGTTGCTCAAACTGGGTACAATATGTATTTGAATATAAATCATAACATTAAATTGTAACATTATATTAACTAAAACCATTGTACGAACCTGCACAAACGCAGAACCGGCGTTAACTATTTCTATCCTCTGAATATATGTTGGGGAGTCCAGCTCAAGGGTAATACTCGCTCGGCCAGTTCCAGCCTCCTTACGGCTGAAATATTGTGAACTCATTGTTCTGTGGGCGCCATACTGTAAAGGGTTTAACAGTGGGGAGGGAGACTGAATAATAATTAGTCTTCAAAAGTTTTGCATATGTCCTCGGTTTAAAGGTATTGTTGTATAGTAATTTTGGTAGTTGCAGTTTCGCATCAGATTTGTACGTGGAACTGGGAGACAACACAACCTCACTGCATAACGCTGCTCAGCTGCCCAGTAATATAGTTAATTATCTTGGATCCAAGATAATTAACTAGAAACACGTACGAAACACGTACAAATTTGAGTTTTATGTGGAACTGCAGTCTGCAACTACCAAAATGACTATACAACAGTATCAACTATCATGTCAATGAATAGAAATTCACGATTTCTTATTTCAGGAGGTTGGCCGTTTGGCTCTACTGCGAGTACACCTAATATGATGAATACATCAAGTGTCAGCATACCTGCATCTCCAAGCCTTGTTGAGGAGTTTATTGACTATGTTGGTTCCAGGGAACTCAGCATCTTCAGAAGAACAGTGAACAACATTCCTTACTTCAATAGTTCCCTGGTAGGTCGGAAACTTTCCCATTTCTTGGTATCTTACATTCTACAGATTTAGTGAAATAAGAAGTGCAAGTGAGGCTATTGCAGTTGTGTATTATATAAGATATAAACGATCAAATTTATGCGATGGGAATGCGCGTTCATCGGTAGAAAATACTGGCTGAAACTAGAAAAGTGCCCACATAAGCATTCACCTTTTTATTTACATCAGCGATTGCGATTTACTTTTAAAGTCTGCAGGATTTTATTAAATACTGATTAAGATTTTCAAGTTTCGGCCAAACTTTCTTCGACCAGTCACATATCCGGGTAAAGTTTATTTGACGAAAAATGAACGCCAATAGTTCTCCAGAGCATCCAGATTATGTAAGGCCATTGAGGTGAATGTTCATTTTCGTGGTGACTGATGGTGTGTCTGACTGAGTGAATAATAAAAATGTCAAACAATTCATTGTAATTGATGTCATTTGGAATCACACTTTACAAAAAACTAGTTTGTACATAACGTTCATACTTACTCAGCATAGATTACTATTTACTAACCATAGTATAGTATAACGTATTCGAATACCTTAATAATATTATAATTTAATTTATCGAACCAGCTGTTAAATGAAACGGAAGTCAAGATCACTAAAAGTAAAAGTAAAAGATTATAAAACTCCCCCAAAACTGGCTCAATGAGAAATACTCCGAGAAAATACTCCGAGAACCTAAAACCAGTGCAGTGGTGGCTGTATTCTACACACAGCGCAAGGTGCCATGGAACGTAATTGTAAGGTAGATAAGAATTTTAAATCTGAAAACATTATTAATAACATGAACTTGTTGAACTTAACTTAACCAGCAAGACAAAGTTACTCATCATAATCATTAGTTAAAAATTGATAAACAAACAGCGATCTCTTCTTAGAAGTTGACTTGGCAACATTCCCAGTTTCTGGCAGCTGAGGCTTCAACAAGACGTCCCCGAACACTTGGGACAAAAACTTGGCATTCGATCTGTTGAGTTCGGAATGTGAAAGTATTTCTCGTAGGAATCCACAGATATACTTGAAAACATTGCGATGAGAAAAGTCCATGTTTCTGAGAGCACGTTTAGAGTTAGCAAAGTGAGTGCAGTGTTCCAAACAAACCGGATAATGCTCGTAAGGAATGACTGGTTCAGGGAACGAGTCCAGAAAGAGGATCAGGGATTCTGCTACAGAGTGGACTGAGGATACTCTGATAGGACCGTCTGTGTCTATTGCGTCCCGGACTGCTCCAATGTCCATAGGAGAACCTGGTAACATGGTGGTAAAGTGTCTTCAGAGAAATTTAAAATAATAATAAAATAAGCTTCATTCCTGTGTAACTCATCTGTGAAAACAGAGCTACAACTACAAGTACATATATCGAATTTCCTCTCGGTAATCCCACCATATTTTATTATAATATTCATTTACACTTAAAAGGTAAAGGATATACTTAAAAATATAGTAGAATTATAAAACTGCACCTCTGACTGCGAAAAGCTCCTCCTCGAACAGGCCGTTTTGGTAGAGGTAGTCGACAATCCTCCACAGTTCCTTCGGAATGTTCAGAGCAACGGGAGAGTCTTTGTCTACCAACACTTCGTCCGGTGACTGCAAAATTTGGGGGTAAATTTGAATCAATTTTGATTCACGGCACACACTCTAGTTCGACAACTTGTTCGCCATAATCACCCCTGTCGGTACGTGTCGAAGGTCATTAAGTTGCAATTTTGGCTGGGAATCATGTTGAAACCTCTGAATTTTCCGAAATAGATTTAATCCAATTGCGATCTTGAAAAAAAAGCTTTATATTTTTAATTCTAGGTCTATTTAAATATTTCCCTTTTCAATCATCGTGTTCTTTCTGAAAGTGATATCATTATATCGTATAAATATGTCTTATCGTTTGCAGTTTAAGTTTCTTAAAGTAGCGAATTAAACTCGATGTTTAGATAAGAAGCTAATGGCTATTTCTACGTTATTAAATTCGACTTAATCAAATGTTCGTTCTTTAGCCGATTTGTTTGATTTGTTTATATTATATATTTATTCTATATATAATAACATAATAGTATTTTCTATGAGATATGATATAGAATTATGTTTATAAACATATAAATAAACTATTTTCTATGATGCAGACCACCTACCCTTGTCCTACGATAAATGGTCTCCAAATGAAGAAAATTAACGAATAGATTCACATTAAACGAAGTGCAGTTGTGCTCCTATAACACGACGGCGGCGATGGAAAATAATTTTGAAGACTGAATGACCCTTGCTATTTTATTTTATAACAATTTGGATGATGGAGGATATTCAATTCAATCGATTATTCAAAATGGATTATTATAATGTATTACTATTATAAAATTTGTCAGATTTCAAGCATTTGGGATGGTTTCATGTAATGTAGATATCCGTCAAGAGTTAAACCTGTTCAATGTCGACGAGGAGGTTCTGCCTCCGGATCGGATCTGCCATCCGGACCAGATCCGTAATCTTCCGGCCGAATGAGGTCTGAACCAGATACCCGGACACAGATATAAAGTAATCTTTACCATTGACCAGGTGAAGCACTAGGATTTCCTGAAAATTATCTCAGTTATAATCGAAAAATTCAATAGTACTGAGGACAAGAAACGGAAACAGAAACATTGTCATTAAAAAACCCATCTTTATCACAACTCAGTATTATATGAGTGATATGATTATTCGAAGCTAGTTACGCTAAAACTAAATAGATTTCTAACGTTATCAGTTCATTTTTAATATTTTAGTCTGAAAATCTAACCCACATCCAACTTGCGGTCCTGTCCAATTGTTTTCATAGCTTTGTTGTCGATGTAAACAGTAAAGTTGATGATCATGACATTGCCAGGGTCAACTATTCCCTTTTGGGGTTCGATGTGAAGCCAGGGGGCACATATTGACCTATCTTCCAGCTTAGGAATAAACCTGAAATGAGCGATAGTTACCAAGCGTGTTGTACATTTGTAATACCAAATTTGGTATTACAAATGTACATTTATGTGGTTGCTTCGAAACGGCTTCACCATTAAAATCAACGCACGCATGGTACATCTCACCAAAATTAATCAGTTCCTCAGAAACCCACGCAGTACTCACTCAAACTGTGGTTTAAGAACTGCTATAAAAACCGAATAAGAGAGATAGAGAATGAGTACTTGAAGCAGAGAGACATGATACTTACTCGAACTCGAAGAGGTCAGTGCCAGTGTTTTGGAGCGTGATGGGTTGCTCCTGTGCCTCCAGATATTTCACTCCGTCAAACATCAGTTCAGTTCTGTTCAGAGCTGCCTGTGAGATGAGGTCCGATTTATAATTATTACTAGTGAAGGTGAATATATTATATAGCTACATTTGGGAATTAAAAGTTAAAACTGTGAATAAAATATGCCCGACCAAACAATATCTAGACCACGAGACTGTGAAGTAAGTGGTTAAACTAGACTGCAAATAAGCTTTCCCTTAACCCACTGCTCAGATGGTGTTTGCTAGAGAATTCTGCTTCTCATTTCAGATTTTAATAATGAAATTTAGTGATTTCCCCGAGCTCTCAGCATCATCCTTGCTTGAGTGCACTTGTCTGTACTGAATGCTAACTGCTCTGCTTTCCAACGGATCGCCTCCAAGTATAATACATTTATTTTGATATCAATTTAACGTGCTTTATAACCTTTAAACTGGGTGGTCTCGTTACAGTGTAACCTTTAGGAACACTGTTCCTAATATAAAACTGATATTCCGCATCTCTACTGTCCAATGATAATCCTCTATCAAAACCACCCCTTGATCTTTGAGGGTACGTGAATTGGCGGGATATCTTAGTAGAAATAGTGTCGAGATCCACCTCCGTGCCTTGTTTTAGAGCGGAACTTCCTGGTTTATCAGCGGAGCTGGCAGACTGTTCAGTGTTGCATTCTGAACAAGAACAGGGAGAAGTTTTGGAGCACGTGTCACAAAATGTAGTCACGTGTTTAGAGGGAATGGGAACTGCTGCTACCTCCAGCTCAACAGGCTCCGGGGCTACTGATACCTCATCCGATTGAAAGTAAGCTGACAGACGAGCAAACAAACCCAATGAACATAACTCGTCGGGAGTTGTTTCCTTTGTGGAGGTGTTGGTAATGTATCATGTTGTCATCAGGGCTACCTTACACCCCAATTAAGGCAGAGTCAATGAAATGTTTCCAAGACAAGAAAAGTCTAAAATTGAAAGTAAAGTACAGTTCAGTTCAAGGATTACCTGAGGCAGTGAATCGTTTGCGATACGATCCAGATCTTTGAGGATCTCGTCCAAAACAAGCTGTTTCTTCTGCACGTCAACTACTCTCGTTTGGACTAACAACACTGCACTGACCTTAGTTAGTGCAAATTACTTTACAAACTGGCTACAATATTATATACACTAAGGTTAAGTAGGTAACTTTTACTACTAACGCTAACGTAGAGTAGGTAACTTTAAAAACGCATTGTCACGTGTCAAAACAATAATGGTCTGGACCACCTCAGAGCAAATATAATGTAATATGTATAACACATGTATAACGAGAACGATAAAACATAACATAAGATTGTTTTCAACAATACACTCACTACAATACACTCTGGTATGTGTCAAAGTAAGGACACCTCTATAATATGACTCTGTTCGTTACTTGAGAACGTTGAGTTGTTTATTTGTTGCAGCCTTAAATCCCTTAATGTAGTTAATATGACGAATCAGTACTCAGTTCTACCAGTAGTGTTTCGTTTCATTAGAATAGATGTGTTTGAATTATATTTTACATCAAGTTTTAAATCCACTTTTAAAGGCAAAATAGTATCCATATAAAAGTGAGCTAAAGAAGAAAGTATAGCAAAACTCCTGGAAAGACTTCACCGTTAAAGTTACAACAATTTCAAATGTCATGTTCTTTCTAGAGTTTACAGAAATCCATAATCATGATGTATATATACAATATACTGTACATAAAATGATATGGCAGGAGCTAATTACCCTACTTAATTTGAATATTCCCTCTTTTGCAGCACCAAGGGATCGTTTAAATATTACGTAGGCAACATTTTGAGCTTAACCGTTTCCAGATCCCTTCTCCCTCCGCAAGCATTTCACGTAGAAATTGTGTAGAATTTTCACTGGCAAGCTTGTTCCAACTCCCTCCCCTCTGAATTTCGTGATATGTGAACGATCTCTAAGATCACACGAAAATAGTGACGCGTTATTCCCGGCTAAAAGAGTTCTCATATTACCGCAGTGTGATTAAATTGAAATCGCCTATTATATGATAGTTCCTCGTTTTGTCCCGTACCACACATTCGAACTTAATTTTATAGTACACGTTCCAATTTGACTGAACTGATGAACTCAAATTCCGGAAGTGGTTCCAGCAGCAGTCAGGGAATACAGCATGGTATGTATGTTAAATTCTTATCGCCAGAAACAGGAAATTGATAAAGATAAGCTTTCTCCCCTGAACATACTATTATATTGGGCATATTGAACATGCTATTATATTGGGCATATTGTTACGGAACCCTACCGCTCATACTCTCATAGTTGAAGTTATCTCAATATCTATTGATAAAAACTTTCAGATTTAAATACAGGAGATGTAAAGTCAATGTTTCCTGAATTGGCTGGGAGTGAGTGGTATTGGGCTGAAGATGCAGTGAACAAGGAGACCATAACTGAGTTCCTTGCAGACGGGTCCGTCAAGTTCAACAAAGGGAAAAAGAAACAAGGTCGTTGGAAGCTTGATGAAAATGGAACAATTCTTCACGTTAATTTATTTGATGGCAGATACTACACGTTACATTATAGTACGAGGGAGAGGAAGGCAGAACTTATAAACTCTGACACATGCTCTCCTACAGTCATGTGGATAAAAGGTATTACCGTTTAACGTTATATATGCAAAGTTAGGAAATAGTTTCCAATTGAGTTTTGTCAAAACTTGGCTATATATTAGAAATCTGCACATTACATGTAATGATGGTTTCTAATTCTGTACTCGACCACAAATGATTAACATACATTTTTAATTTTTTTGATTTCTCTTGGAGAATTTCTCTTTAGACTCTTAACTTGCGAACAAATTGAAGCAGCAAACTTTAGGCTAGAAACTTTATTGCCTTTAGTTTTTTTAGCCTAAAGTTTGCTGCTTCAATTTGTTCGCAAGTTAAGAGTCTAAAGAGAAATTCTCCAAGAGAAATCAAGTTCAAATGCGACTCATAAATATAGCCCCCTTGAACTATACATTTTTAAATAACAGAGAAACTGACCAAGCTAGCTGACTACGAGCAGAAAGGTAAAGAAATCATGTCAAACTATTGCGAAACAGAAGAGAAACGCCCGATAATGTCACCACCAGCCCCTCAACAGACGTATATAGACTGTTACCCAAGAGAAGATGAACAAAACTCTTCAAGGACCTGCGATGACTGTCACGACAAGAAGAATTGTGAGCGCTGTACAGGTCTGATTCAGAGGAACATCCGTCAGCGAGAGAACTACGAGGCTGAAGTCAGAGTCTACAGAGCTCTTGAGAAGGTTAACGAGCGTTTTATTGTCCTTCACAGGTTCAAGTTCACACATCACCAATATCGGATTTGCGATAGGAACCATGACAGAAAGACTTGTCAAAATTGCAAGGGCGCAAAACCCAAAAACTTCGAAGAGTGCGACTTTTTGGTTGTTGGATCAAATTATTTCGTCGTCATTGAAGTTAAAAATTCGAAACTTGAACTAGAAGACGACCCCGTCCAATCATTTTACAAATCGATAAAGCAGAGGGACAGAGTCAAAGAACTTATTCACGCTATGAATAATAGAATTGATGTTTTCCTTTATACAGCTTTTCCCAGTCTACAGTCAAACCAATTTGAAGCCGCAGAAACTGTAAAGGTATCTATCATATTTGATGAACATCTAGGTGACTTTTCTAAATGGTGGGATGTGAATGTGACTCAGAAGGTAACATCAAGATACGAGGGAGAGAGATTCCAAGGTGGAGCCAACTCGGATACTGATTTAGAAAGAGTGAAGCACATTTTGTTAGCTATATCATGTACGGAGGTGAAAGAACCAGAATACAGTAGGTTCAGCTTAGCAAAGACTGTGAGGATTATAGACAAACAGTTGAGGGAGGGTCTTATCACTTTGGAACAAAAAGTTGGGAAGTCAAAAGATAAAATGAGCTGCAACCCTGGCGTGGAAAAAGCACCTGACGTGATAGCAAAGTACATTGGAGTAAAATACTTGACCCCACAACAGATAGAAATACTCAGTTCAAATGAAAACCTGATGTGGATTAATGGGCCGGCAGGATCCGGGAAAACTGTAATACTGTCAGGAAAAATGATACTACAGGCAACAATAAACAAGGAAAAAGTTGTAGTATTCAAAATCACTGGAAGTAACGTAAATTACTCTACAATTTATGAATGTACATGCAAAAAAGCAGGCTTGGATTATGACCTCATATCTCTAGGTGGATACAGGGATTACGGAAGTTCAGGACCTACAAAAATAGCGGGCGATATATCACTTACTGAAAAAAAGGGTGGTTATAGTCGAGATAAAGCGCACAATAAACACTTTAGCTCGATTCCCAGAAATAATCGGTAAACTCACCGACTGCAATGTCATTGTAGATGACATACATGGTTTCGTTAGATTATCTAAGAAACTTCTTCAATCACTGATAACGATATCAAGCTCAAAAACTGTCTGGATAGGATGTGATACGGCTCAACGTAGCCTTTTTAATAAAACAAGACTTAGAAATTTCACCATTACAAAATTTAACAGTTTTATTTTAGAAAACGTTCCAGTCAAACAGCGTGTGACTTTATCTAAAAATTTGAGAAACACGCATGATTTATCGACTTGTTTATCGATTGTTAGAACTGAGTACATCAAACTAGTTTCAGATGGCTCAGATAACGTTAAGATTTGCTTACCAGAACAATATCCGGGCCACTTTATACATGGTCCAATAATTTCTGTACATATTTTCAAGGACTATTCCATTGAATTAATCGACAATGTTTTTACTTATGAATTATACAAATTACACGATGACTCGGAAGTTACAACTGTTGGTATAGTTTTTGATAGGATTAGTGACACCACCAAGGATATTCTAAAAGATGTGATCAGCAAAGGACGCAAACATACAACAGTTCTATGTCACTGCTTCAGTAGCTTCTCAGCTGAATGGCCTGCTATCGTTGCTGTGATGGGTGTAGACGTTGTCGGGAAAAAGGGAGTATGACCTGATGAGACTCTATCTGATGGCATCTCGAGCAAGAGTCAGATGTGCAATACTGATAGTCCCAGAGGAGGGTCTGTTATTGGACGAGTACCCTGGGGGGGGGGGGGCCAATGGCATAAAATGGCATAAAATGGCATAAAATGGAGACTTTTTCTATGGAGAAAATGGAAAAACCCATGAGTAATTCTCCATTTTCTCCATTTTATGCCATGAATTTTGTCTTCGAAATTTCATCTTTAATACCATTTAACACCTAAATTGGACATCCTTACATGTTTATTTACGCTTACTAGGGGCGTAACAAGCTTATGAAAGCTCATAGTAGGCTACTAGATGCTTATACTAGGTTAGTAGAGGCACACTTCAGGCAAACTCATAATTACTCAAGCCTAGTGTAAAGTTATTTCTACAGGCTACAGCAGGAGTGAGTAATAGGGGAGAGTAATAGGCACTGAGAAGTGAGACCTACATCCTCGACAGTCGAAACAAGCTCGCACTGCAAAGGGGAGCCCTGCCTTCCGAGATCGCATTACCAGGGGGAAGCCTCGAGTCCAAATTTGTGTATCGAGGGGTAGGTGCAGACTTCGATAAACCGAAAAACCAAAAAAATATTTTCGGCTTATAATTAAATGAAGAGGGTAGCATGAAACGTGGAGAAAAGTGGTTTTTAGAAAAACTTTGAAAAATTTTGACTTAGAAAATTTTCGGCCCGAGTTATTCTCGATACGTACCTCTCGTATCGAGAGCTCCCGATTCCGAGCTCGTGTTGCAAAGGGGAGGCCTGCCTTCCGAGATCGCATTACCAGGGGGAAGCCTCGAGTCCAAAATTGTGTACCGAGCGAGGGGTAATTTTCTAAGTCAAAATTTTTCAAAGTTTTTCTGAAAAACACTTTTCTCCACGTTTCATGCTACCTTGTTCATTATAAGCCGAAAATATTTTTTCGGTCAAAATTTTTCAAATTTTTTCTGAAAACCGCTTTTCTCCACTTTTCATGCTACTCTGTTCATTATTTGCCGAAAATATTTTTTCGATTTTTTCGAAGTCAACACCTTCCCCTCGATACACAATTTTGGACTCGAAGTAATGCGATCTCGGAAGGCAGGCCTCCCCTTTGCAACACGAGCTCGGAATCGGGAGCTCTCGATACGGGAGGTACGTATCGAAAATGACTCGGACCGAACATTTTCTAAGTCAACATTTTTCAAAGTTTTTCTGAAAACCACTTTTCTCCATGTTTCATGATACTCTGTTCATTATTGGCCGAAAATATTTTTTCGGTTTTTTGAAGTCCACACCTTCCCCTCGATACACAATTTTGGACTCGAGGTAATGCGATCTCGGAAGGCAGGCCTCCCCTTTGCAACACGAGCTCGGAATCGGGAGCTCTCGATACGGGAGGTACGTTTCGTAAATGACTCGGACCGAACATTTTCTAAGTCAACATTTTTCAAAGTTTTTCTGAAAACCACTTTTCTCCATGTTTCATGATACTCTGTTCATTATTGGCCGAAAATATCTTTTTTTAAAATAATTTTTCTCGAAATTCTAAATTTTTCAGGTTTTCCATGGCATAAAATGGCATAAAATGGAGACTATTTCTATGGAGAAAATGGAAAAACCCATGAGTAATTCTCCATTTTCTCCATTTATGCCATTGGCCCCCCCCAGTACCCTTTTATCCTGGACTTGATCAAGAAACTCGAACCACATTCTGATGTGATGTATCACTCAAATTATCTGGTAGCTAAATAAATGCAGTTTTCAAAGAAACAATATTATTTCTAAGATGGCTGATGGGGGTTACTTTTTACTTTTTACCACTTGATTCATTTGAAATTTGTGACTATTATTTGAAGCAACAAAAACTAAACTCTTTTTAACCAACTTGACCACTATGAGAGGACAGAAGATGGGAAATATTCTACTTTCAAAATTGTTGATCCCTCAAAGTGTCCCTTTTTGCAATATATTTACTACTGCAGGACAGCAGAAGCTATTTTGACAGAGAAATGTTCATTTTTCAGATTAACTTATAAATCACAAAGGCTTTAACCCGTGACAAACCCACACATGACCACATGTTTACAAGCTATAACTACACTCACAATACACAAAAGGAAACTATTAACGTAGGCAATATAGTAACATACCGGTTTGTGATCACTGAGCTTGTGTATCGGGTGACTTCTGTAATCTTCACACTTCAACATGGTGTTACTCTTCCACAGGATTCTATCGCACCACGCTGGGGTCCGGCACTTTTCACTGGTATCAAATTTATCCGTACCTAGCGGAAACAAGTTCATCAAGCTTTCGACTGACATCTTGGAAATTCTAAACTATGAGACTACTTAAAAGTAACCGTTTTTAATGGATAAATCATCCGCTGTGAGAGTATTTACCGACTAGAACTTGTCAAGCTTCGTAGATTAATTACCAGGATTATATTTATAGGTTGGCATGAAGTTTATGGTGTCCTCCACAAATTCCTCGAATACTAAATGTTTATTTCTCTGTTCTCTGAGTTGATCAAACCTGCGAAATACATGACTAGTCACAGTGGTTAATGCATAGTATACTGCAATTAATACGATTACTATGATAATGAATGTTACATCTAATAAAATCGTGTTTTGGTTAGTCTAGTCAGGTAATCCGTGTGATCTACATGTTCTACAAAAGATACGTACGTGAACAGGATTCAATAAAATGTTCCCGCGTCCAACGTTAAATTACGAAAATCCTGCCCCATTACGCGCATTCGATGGTACTGAACAGCAAACCTTAAAAGTTGCCCAATTTCCCACTTTTCGGCAAATTTTCTTATCTCCTCTCCGGATATTTCATCTTCCGAGACACGATAATTTAGATCTCCAACCCAAACGACTATGTCTGAATTCTTCAATGTATTCGCTTCGTCATTATCGAATCTGAAATTATGATGAAGGTCCAGTTTTCCCCACTCTAATTAATGTAAATCAAGTCAGTTAACAAAGTATTTTCTTAATAAAGAATAAGACTGAAATTGATTACCAACCTCATCTTAGTAAAAATGTCTCTGTAGTCCTGATTCCTTCTCTCTACCATTTCTTGATGTGCTGCCAGATGAGAATTAACTATCGCTATTGAAGTCATGTCTATGTTTAACTTTATCGACACTCCGCCTTTATTTCCTGTATTAAGTTTGTTCGGAATTAGCTAGACGGATTTCTATTTTATGAGATTATTTACGTAGAGATAATTTTAATGAAAATCGTTCAAATTTGACTGTCTTATTATTGTTAATAACAATGTAGCTCAACGTGACCCTAATTTTAAACATTTCAAATGCCCAATAAAAGTTTTTGTTGGGCTAACTTCCTCACCTAACATCCCCAAGATGCCAGTGCTGACCGACCCAGTGGAGACGTCTGATACCCGGGACATGATTGATTCTCTAACGTATACAACTAGGAGAATTCCAACTAATCTAATGTGTTTTAGTAGCTTATACGATACTCCTTTTGGTAAGCCAGCTTTCATCTTCTCCATCCACATCTGAAGTACAGTAAGTTTTTAAAATTCATACGTTTATCGGCGATTGATTTAATAGATTTATCAAGATGCTCTTTAAGAATAAATTTCGATATTGCATGAGGGTTTCAGTCACCTCTGAACAACAAACCTCAACACTCAGTGGCTAATGATAGAACAATACAATTTATACCACAATACACATACTTTTCTAAATGACTTCGTTATTGAAACCAAGTGTTATTGGACTAATAACACTTAGTTTCAAGATTATACTGTAAACTTTAACGGTGAGTAGCATAAAGGAATGTGCAAAATTGTTATTTTGCACCCTCACAACTAACAAGGTAAGTATCGTAAATACTATGTATATAACAACTTAGTGTGTTCAATGTGTGTCTCCAGAAATACGCCATACAATTTGAAGTACAAAAAACAAAACGCTTACCAACTAAGAATAACGCCATAAAATGAAAACTTAAAAACCAGAATCCTAACATTAACTCACCTGTTCCTTACTACTATCATTGAGGAGAAGTAAAGTCTCAGGACTGAGATCTAACTCCTGGTAGCCTACACAGATAACATCCGCTGGACGCTCGTCTACTGATAACAGCGTGGTCAGGTCCTCTGAGGAGAAGGACAGGTTTTAGAAAACATCATGTTTATAGGAACTGGATACTAACACGTGACAGTAACTAACCAATCAGCTTCCAGCATTTGTCATTCAAATCCTAGAATTACTGTCACGTGTAAAAACAAGTATGATTCACCTCGCCACCAGAATCCACATCTATATTATAAGTGATTAACTTATTGTACTTTGGGCGGGGGGGGGGGGGGGGGCGATGTTAATAACTTGGTTCATCGCTGTCAGGACTTCCATCATCACCCCACTTGTAGTTACTATCTTTTACAGCAGTATTAATTAGGTCATATTGGAAAGTTGTTTCTTTACTATTTACAGAGGTTAGAGGTGTTCTAAAACATCAATACACGAACCATTTAGATCCGTTTAGGTTATTGCATAATAATTCTTAGATCATTGCATTGGGATGTTATAACTTAACAATAGACATTATCTCATTTTAACTTGTGTCATTATCTCATTTTCTTATTTATTATGGTTTATTTTATTCAATACCTGAAACTGAAATCAATAGTCATTGCATCCTCTTCTCACATATCAGCAAACTTTGCGTTTTGGAAGTTTTCAGTTTTTATACCAAACTACATTAGCATTATGTAGTATTTACGCATTACGCATTTATAGTATATACAGCAGCAAACTGCATCCTTAAACTGTTGTATCGGTATTATACAGGATCAGGAACATATTGGGCATTTCTTAACGGTAATGAGGTCTGATCGTCATCTTCTTACAGCGTTCGATGTCTGTGTGAAGGTAAAATGGTATCCCATTACCTTAGTATTGCTGTACAACTACTACATTTCTTAACGGTACTTAATACGAAATTTACTTTATATTTTCGTTTTTGGAAGCCACATTTTATTTGTTATAAGGTTTGAGATAAAATAGACATTGTAATTTTCAAATTTGCTGGAGTTTTATTGAGACAAAAAAAGACGATCAAATAAGAAATTTTGAATCAAAAATAATTAAGGAAGATACTATACACAAACATTTTAAAAGATAATTGGTAATACTGAATTGAACATCTAAAAAGTTATCAAGCGTCGGATTAAAATATTATCAGTAAAGAAAAGGTTTTTTCATATTCACTAGTATACGATATATTTTTACCTGCATTTTAAAATTCTTCCAAAACGGATGTAAATGCTATATCATTGTTTTCAGATCATATATTTTTCTTCCCGGACTGTATATATAGTAAGATCTAATTCACACAAAAATAAAAAGTAATCATTTCATTCTATTGAATTGAAATCTTTTTTTCGTTTTATCGAAAAGCTAGGTAAGGTTCAATTAAAGACTACAAAAAGCAATCGTTCTCTTAATTTTTTAATTATTTTTGTAAATTGTTTTCCATTTTTTTTCTAATTTTTTTCTCAATATTAATTAACTACTGATTAAAATTGATCTCACAGAATATTTTTCGTAAAATATTTATTCGAACATCACAATCAAAATAGTTTAAATCAAAGGAGAAGTTTGTGATCCTAAATCGAGCCGAAACAATCAATGTTTCTAGTCCGTTTTATGTCAGTTCTATGCTCGATCTCCCAGCCGAAAGTCCAAGTCCGTAGTTCGTTCAAGCTGTCCCGAAAGTCCTAGTTGCAAGATGTGCATCCTGGACCTCCAAGACATTCTCTCTCTACCATATTATTGATGGTAACTTCACACTTGAAACACTTGTTCCATCCAACCCCCTGGTTGTTCAAGTGTTGCTTTGACACCCAACTTTCGAACTTGTTTTTTCCTCCCGGGGAGAAATTTTTCCAGTCCAAGTCCAGAAGAACAGTTCCCCAAGAAGCACTGTTAGGAGGTCTGTAGTAGACTTTTACATCTGCATCCGGGATGTTGTTGCCTAGGCCCGTTGGGTATCCTGAGTGAGTGTAATCAACTTTACAAACGAATTTGCGATTATTGCCAATCTTGGTTTTGGTGAATTGAGTGATTTCGGCGGAGTGAGTGTTACGTTTTTGTATGTTGTGAACTTTTGAAGACATCTGGAAGTCCTTGTATGGTGCATAATTCACTTGAACATTCTCATCTTTGTAAATCGCAGCTTCTGTTTCAGCACAGTTGTCAGGATACATCTGAGAGAACGACTGACCAGAAGTGCTGACAGAGACCATGTAGCACTGGGCACGCTCCTCCTCCTCCTTCAAATGTCCCCATTTTCCTTCACTGTAGGGTTGTGTCTTGAACTGTTCTTTTCCGCAGCCGCTGGGCTTCAGAAGATCATATCCAATGAGGGGCTTGGTCAGTGTGATGGTGTTTCCATTTTGTTCCTCTTCGGCGGAGGCTTCAACCCAAACACCCTCTTCGCTGTCGAACAAGAGGAGGGATTTAAACGTCTGGCTTGGCTTGACTGGCTGGCACTTTCCACGTTTGTCTTTACAGGAGGTACCGGGGATCTGGAACTCAAAGTAATCAGTGATCTGCATCTCGCCTTGGATGACCGGGTCTTCCGTACTCTTCCTCACGTAGTTCAGATCTTCAATGTCAGCATCCATCAGTTCCAGCTCCAGCCTCCAGGTCTTGTTTCTTTTCTTTCCTTTCAGGCTTTCCTCTCATTTTAGGCTCCATTCTTCCAGCAGCAACATTACTATGCTGAAGGCAGACGACAGCGAAGCAAACTAACGATGTTAGTTTCAACACATGCATTCTCATATCGTGCTGGACGGTTTTCTAGTTCGGTTACAAATTGATAACAAATGCAAAGCGATGATTGTAGAAGTGAGGAAGATGCAAGTGAAGCTTGCTATTAGCTCCCGCCCGAGGTAACGTGACGTCACATTTCGTGACGTCACGTTTCGTGATTAGTTTACTCTACCCACACACTGTCATTCTCAGCAATGTAATATATTGATTGGTAACTTTATCGGCAAGCTACTCATAAGCATTATTTCATCAGCTGATTGCGGTTGACATGATTCTTCAAAACTCGTAAGTCCCGAGACTTTGGATTCCAATGCCAGGAAAAATAATTGAACTCGCTACTAAAAGTCACAATATTAATGTCATTAACGTCATTCTCTTAAGCATGTTGGGGAATACAGTAACACTTCTACGTGAATGAGCTGCTACATATCGATACTTGTTGTTTTAAAAGTCATTAATCATTACTTTTAATGGTATCTACAAATACAGTTTCTTTTTGTGAACATCAAAAATGAGGAATCATGGCAAGAACCCAAAATTTTGGAATCAATGGGCCATAAAATGATTTTTCTTCCATAATTTACACTAAGTCTACACAGTACTATATAACAGAAATGGTTCTTGTAAAAGATTATTCAAAGTACCCAAAACAGGAACTTGAAATTAATTTGAAAGCACAGTACGTACCAGTAGGAAGTTGACCGTTAACATTCCACGTGACACAGAGAACACGACAGGGCTGAAGGTTTGTAAACTCGTTCTTCCTCTGATTCAGGGCCCTGTGAACCGCTGTCTCCCGTCCATACGTGATACCTGCTCAGCAATTAGCTAATTAACAAATTAATTTATTGGTGTAAACTGAAATTAACTGACACTAGTTTATGACATAGTGGTCATATATATCAGTATTCAGTAAGTAGTATCTGGTATCACTGTAGTTTGTATTGGTAAACCGGGCTTCGTATCACACAGCTTTACAATTTAAATGATCCATTGTATATAATATAAATATAAATCATTTTTAGTGAGAAAATCAAAGGCTTTAAATATTTTGACATCACAGACGATGATTATGTTTAAATTGGGTACACCGTACAGTATAGACAAGTTTTTACACTTATGAAAAAGGGCCACTGTCACTGTGCGGAAACACGGGGCAAGAAAACAAATTAGGAAAAAATACATTATATTATAATGGTATAATATAAGTACATTGACAACTTATTATATAATAGCTACAACTCATTACACCATACATTGAACAGTTTTTAAAACAATTCTTCACAATGTAGAGGCTTATACCCAGAACTAACTGTTGACATATAAACATATAACGGGATTGTTACAATTTGCAAACTTGGGACACTTTCAATACAACATAAACTTACATTTTACAACACATATTATGGTTATTACTTACTATCCTCTTCATAATCATGTACACTTGAATGGCCAATAACCGACCAATCATTGTCAAGTTTGATCTTTACATCTTCTGTTAAAAGACAGGCAATAGAACAGTTATCATTTCATTATACTCTGAATTGAATACTGTACAAACAATTATTGTCATTCCTGATAACACTAATCAAATAAGATTAATCAAATAATTGAGTAGAGTTTTCAAGTGTTCTCAATGATTCCATTAACTCTATAATTGGCAGTGGGTTCACACGAGAATACATCAATGTCAAGCTACCAGTTCATTTGCTAAGTAACACACATTCCCCATGCTACTTATTCAGCACTAGGCAATCTTGTTATTATTTAGGACCCGAAGTGCATAATCGTTCAAAGTTTCTCCTCATTTGGAGGCTGCAAGCAGAGAATTTGTCAGCTGTTTTGCACAGTCTAATTACATTGGCTATAAGTTCAACTTATGGTTATAGAGTCATTGTAATCAACTGATAACTTATAATAAGTTATCAGTTGAATATAACGACTATTATAACCAACAAGATTATCTATTGTCATGACTGATCAGTGATCAAGCAGGTAAGATTTGTAGATCTGGATACTGGATACGTATCATGTAGATATATCCAGTGAGATATGTATCAAGATAAGTATCAAGTAATGAGCACGCTCCACATACCATCATTACTGATCACGTAAAATGTGGACCCTTCGTCAGCCATGGTCCGGGTTTCTGTACAGTTAGCTCGGATCATAATCAGACACTTTAACCACAAATTATATCTTATATCTAAATCATATTACAGCCAAAATTGAACCTTGTGCTCAGAGCTCGTTTGACAACTTGATCTCAAAGTACGCTTTAACGACATAAATTGTTAAACGACATAAATCAATATCTCACCATTAAATTATGTAAATTCAACTCAGCATGAAACATAGCTTAATGAAAATGTGTAGTACTGTGTTATAATGTGCACCTACCAGAGGAAACAGCAGTGGTTCTTTGCCGTGGCTCCGTCTGTTCGTAGTCGATGAAGTCCACCATACCACGTGTGACCGTTGTTACATGATCATTGGTCAACTTGGAGCTCTGCTCATCAACTACTGGTGGTCAAGATTAGTAATTTTGGGAGACTCAGGACATATCTTACGATTGGACGATGATTAATATTTGTAAGATAAATTAAAATTCGTTTGGAAACAGAATATCAAATGTTATGTATTTGCAAAGAAACATTTTGGATAAGAATAATGTTTAAAAACTTGATTTCCCAGTGCAAGAAAATGAGTCCAATTTAGATTACAATTATTAATGATTAAATTACAAATTTTAAAAATCACATTGAATACAGTTTAATACAAAACTATCCAAATATAAATCATTTTTTCGTTAAAAAATCCACATAAGTCTGTGCCAACATACCATAGTTTTGGTTTTTAGATAAAGTTAAAAGCAACTCTTCAACAATATGATAACAGGGGGTCGCATGAAGAAGAATCAAATGTTTAGATAAATCAACCAACGTTCCTTTGTTGGGCGAGCTCATGTCTGTTGTGGAACTGAAAATTAGATCTTTTGGATTCTGTAAATCTTTACAGGGTATGTTCATTTTACTGGAAGATTCATTTATATTGGATAGCAAGTCCAAATGTTGGGATTTATAGCCGTGAGATAAACTAAAGAGTTTGACAATGTGCCGGATGTGTAACTTACAAAATCCGGGCTGGAGTGCTGAACATTTTGTCAAAAGTTTTACATCTGCCACCGACCAAACATCAGAATCAAACCTATCTAACCACTCAACTATAGAATGCCTCACAGTTGCTTTACCGTGGACAAAACAGTTGAGAAAGAGTTCGTGTGTCTTGGTGATGTTGTAGACTCGGGTTAAAAGAGTGGCTATCGCTCGTTGTGGTGCTGTGGTTAATACCGGACAGTTCTGCTGGAATGTGACCGCCTCATTGACTGTATCACATATTACATCCATTACGTCGGTCACATATTTGTCATCTCGATTTAACGTCTTATTAATGTTAATCAAACAGTTGAATATTTGTGTGGTATTAATTTGAGTTCCTGGCTGAGGCACGTAGTTTGAAAGCTCTTGACTGAGAGAAGAATTGTTATTCAAAACACCGATCAGAAAATCTTTGCAGTTTCTCATAAACTCAAACCCAAAAGCATTAACGAGTATGCAATTTCTGTAGGCAAGTTTTTTAAACTCGATATCCAGACCGCACCTTATTTTCTCTCTCCCCCTGTAAGATTGGTAAACCTTTTGGTGGTGATCAGCCCAACAGAGAGACTTGTTAAGATTGGCAATCTGCCAGGAGGCAACACGTGAGGAATGCGCTGCTTCTAGTACGTGGAGGAACGTGTCCGCATTCTTTATAATCTGTTCCATGAGTAACTGCAGTAGGGAGATGGTGCAGGAAGTAAATAAGACAGGTACGGTAAAGTAAAAACTAAGTTGTATTATAGATAATATATCATAGACAGGTTCAGTAAAGGTAAAACATACTTGTGTTATAATAGACGGTGTTTAATATTATATCATTGGGATTGAAACAGTCACTGACTGTGTTGCAAGCCGCCGCCGCCGATGGTTTTCTGACCAAGCCGCCGTCGCCGACGAAAAAAGTTAAGTTTTACTCTGCACTCGTCCGGCATGTAGAATGTGCAAACTCGAAAACTTTGTCAAGAAATGCAAACTGGCGCTGAGAGATTGATCTATGGGAGGAGTCTATTGTTTTTTTAATGTATAGTAGACAACTTTTGGTATCTCAGGAATTTGGCAGATTATTGTTTCCCATTAGCTGGTATGGAGTACGTTTTGAGCAAATATATTTGTGTAACACTACTGTGAGCTGTCCCTCTCCGCTAGGTAATAATTCAACAAAGGCAAGTAAAACGAGAATAGCGGATACCAATAAATCTAGTCTGTCAATGACCATAAGGCATGATAGGTTTACAAAATTTACGCATCGAATGTACGTTCGTGATAACTGAGAAATTTTAAATAATGTGACTCTTTTCATTTTAAAATCACGTGACTTTACGCCGAAACGCCGCCGCCGAATAATTTCATTGCGCCGCCGCCTTTTTGGGAAAATCTGCGGCGTGCAACACAGACGTCAGATAAGAATTAAAAATTGCGACTAAATTGATAGACAATCAAAGACATTATGAAATAAAACACGGGAAATTGAATATTTATCTGATCATAAAAATTCAATCGACGATCACAATCTCAACAAAAATAAACAAGAACTGGTTCAAAAGTTATACATAAAAACATAAAAAGCTAAGATAATATCAGCAGAAGTGAGAGAGAGAAAGAGAGAGAGATGACTACAAAGCTACAAACAACGCAAATTTTATGTATCGTGTTCTGCTTACAGCTGTTCACTTCGCACTACTGTACTACATTTACACTTAGCAGACGCTAAACTTAATAAACTACTTTTTAAAACAATGCCGGATCCAGCCCGTTAGTAAATCACTCTCTCGACTTCTAGAACAGTCAAACGTTTTCCCATCATTGGACTATTTCCACTTTCCAGTAGAACCCATCAGGCTGTCACAATTTGATGTTTTTGATGCTCTTGGATGCTGATTTCAGTTCGCTCAATATGACATCTAGTTTGGCAACTGTAACAGTGCAGGGAGTTCCGTTGATGTTCAGGTTAATCAGGGGCTCGTCTATCTTGCCGTGTTTTGTACTTGTTGCTATGTAATCTACTGACCTGGAAATTATTTATTATTATTATTTGTTACAATTATTTTATCGATAGATTTTTAACGAGAAGTTAAATTAAGCGAAATTAAAAATAAAATATAAAATGAAATCTTGATAACACGGTTCCCAGTGTATCTCATTATAGACTAAACGGAATTTATATCAGTACTCAGTACGTGTATAACTACAGTAATACTAGTCACACAAGGGAGTATACATGATATAATAATACATTCTCCTCCTATATAATGGTAGCACTAAGAGCTAGGTGAAAATTACACGCTTCACAAAACTAAGTTCATACAAAATGTCAGGCGCATTGTGTCTGTTGAAAGTACTAGAGTTTTATTAATATGATATCTGCAAAGAAAAAGTAAAGTTGTTAATTAATTTACCACTCAACACTGGGAGCTGGATAGCGTAGACTAGTTCTCCTCAGAGCTTCCCGCGCTTTTTGTGCATGGTCTGTGTAGGCTTTGGTTAAAGAACCGGCGTGTTCCTGCGGTTAGTGTTATCGATCATTTTATAATTATTGGACTGCAAAAAAATCAAAGTGATTTAAGATTTTTTAGCCATCTATGACTTATTTCAAAATTAAGGTCAGAGGGTAAACCTAAAAACCAGCTAAAACTGCCAACCTTAGGAAACCCAAGTTGTTGAAGTTCACTGTCAAGTGAAGAAGACTCGACATCAATCCTCAGAGCACTGTGAATTATAAAGGTTAGACTGGCCACCAGACCCTTAACATCGGACAGTGTGAACATCTTGTTATCTATCAGCTTTGTAAATACTTCGTACTTCACTGTCTCTTCTTCTATGTGGTTCAATATCTGGAAGATGTGTTGAAGTAAAGTACGGGTATATGACCCCCAGAATATAGGTGGCCCCCAAAATATAGGTCATGTTAGTGGATACAGTTCTAACCAAGATAAGCGATACTAATGGGATCTGTTACTGCTAGGTTGGAGTAAAGCATGTAACTAATGTTTCTGGATAAGAATTTTGGACCTACATGAGGTGTTTTGGTATATTTGGTCATGACAGCGAAAGATTTAAACGATGTTGTCATTTTCTAGAGGGGTAAATATAATGGCGAAAAATGGTCATGAAAAAAATCTGTCCAACACATGCCATTAAGACTACTGGTATGAGTATGAGTATTATTTTAAGCTATCTTTTCATCGAGACATCTGCAAACTGACAATTTGGAAAAAAGTTATGGCCACCACAATTTTACGGGCCCCCAGAATATAGGTCTATACGACCCCCAGAATATAGGTTGGTCAAAAACCCTGAACATGCCCAAAACCATGCTTTGGGATGCTCTACTTGTAGCTACTAGTCTCCTGAACACACATATTAAGTTTTATCAAAATTTGATAAAAATTGGCCGAGTTATGGGATAAAAACCATATGCCCATATTTGGGCATACGCACCAAATTTGATCGATTTTGGTCCATAAATTGGTCAAATATCAATATTTTTGAATAAAACTAACTTTATATGGAAGGTAAGCCTACACTACACATTCTCTATGATTATCAGCTCAATATCTACCTAACTGTGGATTCTGTGTTCAAATAATCGCAAAAAATGAACAAAATCGCCCATATCTCAGTTCGCGATATTTGCAATACTGACTTCGCTCAAAACAATAGAACTCAATAGGGTTTCAATATTTTCACATGAAATTTTCAGAATCAACGTAGAATTGTCTCATGACCTTAAGTTTTGGGACAGAATTTTGAGTTAGGCCTTTTAAAAAATTTGGCAGCCAAAAATGTCTGATTTACAGTCATTGAGGTGCACATTGTATTGATACAGATAAAAACAGCCCCCCTCAATCATATCTAGGGACACTCCTTCAATCTTATTTGAGTATTTAGTTAAGATCCCTACTAAATGAGTGCATGAAAGCTTTTTAACTAGTAAAATTAAAGATTTTACTCATTACGGGTATATAAGTATATGGCCCCCAGAATATATAGGTTGTTTTTTTTTAAATAGCGACCAAGATTCTGCATTTTCTCTGTCACCCTGAGCATTGAGGAATGTGGGGTAGTGATGAGAAACAGTTAAAGAACATATGCAGAAGAGATGGCATCATCAAAATGTTATGAAGATGGAGTATTTGAGGACGATTTTTGCATACCTATATTCTGGGGGCCTTAGTTTTTGTTTTTTTGCTATTAAGTATACTCTAAACCATTTCAATTTAGTATCTGGAGCCATTGGCATCATTAATACAGTCTCAGCAACATATTCTGACTGCATATAACTGTCTGTGACAATTTTAGAAAAACTTAGGAACAGATGTTTGGACCTATATTCTGGGGGCCCTGTTAAAAAATGGTATTTTTACAGGTGAAAAAAAAGTACACTTAAAAACCTAATAATTATTTTCAACTACCCAAGAAAAATTTAAAGGGTTATTATGTACATATTTACACCCCTAAACATGCTTAGAAGTAGTTTTAACACCTGTTTCTAAGTGCTCAAAAAGCGACCTATATTTTGGGGGTCATATACCCGTATCTGATAATAATAATACAATGATTAAAATGATACAAATTACAATGATTAAAGTAGTGAATGTTTTAATATTTAACTAACTAGTGTGTTTAATATGATTAAAACAGGTGCTTTTAGGGAAAAACTGAGATTTTAATGTTGATCATAGTATTAGTATTTCAACCAACCAAAGCTCAGACTTTCCGGTAATACAACTAAAATTATCATTACAATAAAAAACCTGACGTCATACACGTGCTAACCTGAATGCAAATAAGTTTGAGTTTGATAGAGGAGAGTTTTGATATTGTAGATATTTCCGCAAGCACCCAATCAGGGCAGTCCTCCCCTCCACGAAACCTGAACCTCATCTCTAGTGAAATCTAGTTTGAATTTGAGATATTGCACGGAAATGTAGGCACCTTTAGACCAATTATCAACAAAATTAAATCGGAAGAAGTTGTCGAAGGGAATGATAAGATATAGTCAATAATTTGATAAGATTAAAACAATACTTCGTTTCAACTCATAGCTGCACTGAACTGTTGGATAAGTTAGAATAGAGATCATGAAATACGTGATATTCCCATAAAAAGGTAAAATAAATTAAAATACTCTAAAAGTAAAAATGTAAGAACTTTATGTCATAGCTTCAGCTGGTTTAGGCGCTTCTTTGAGTTCAGGAAGAATAGGTGAATCACTACCATGCTCATAAATTCCCTCACGTATTTTAGTGCAAGACAAAATGAATCCACCACCTGTCTGCATCCTCATAGCAGGATGAGTCCTTCCTGGTAACACCTGGATCTCCCTGAACCACTGATCAACAACAGATAATTCTGAGCAGCCTTTGTTGTTCACAAAGTTGGCACACTCCACGACAACAGATAGGTATTCACTGTGAATAACCAAGTTCCCAGAGAATCTTAACGAGTCCCACAACAATTCAAGTACTGGGAAAGGGTCATAGAAGGCTGAGATGACAAGACTGTCAAAATTTCCCGTTTTAAGCTGCTCGTAGACTGTGACATAATCTTCGAAATTGACAGGTTTAGCATCTCTTTTCCGTTTCCCAAGTTCTTGAGACTGGTCAGTAGATTCATCATTTGCTAAATCACTACCATCACAGTTGCCTTCTTCAACATTGGGTCTTAATTTAGCCAAAAATTTAATAGGATAATATTTCAAGGCTGTTTCCATATGCTGCTTACTAAAATCAAGCCACTTGCAATACATCGTGTGAGGCAATTTTTGCTCAAAAATCTGCACCACAGTTCCGTTGTCCCCCACTCTTTGTGACACAGCACTCGTCAATAGGTCATCTTTACATTCCACCACTATGGCTTTTGAAGCTGACCAAACATTGGCATTGTTCATGATTTTAGCCAAAATATCAGGTCTTAGCTTGCTTATATTAGATGATGAAAACAAGCGAATAGAAGGTTTCTTGACTATGATATTGGGCTGATATTTACCTATCTTCTTTTTAAGCCATTTAGCTTTGGAGAACTCAGTTTTAACATTAAATGAAGTACTGTTTTCAACTAAATTCCTCACAATCTCGTCACCAGTAATTCCCTTAGCTTTCATTGCCTCAATATCATTCTGAGATAAATTCTGGGTTGCACTGTCATCCTTAATGAACTCATTAGTTTTACCACAATGCTCTGAAGGTTCATTCAATGATGAAGGGGCTTCCTCAACTTTTACCAGCTGATGTTTGACCACTTGGTATTTCTGTCCAAAGCGTTGCCCAACCAGAGAGTCAGCCTGAAAAGAAAGTGGCTTTACATAGACATCCGTGTTGCGGGGGAGCCGCACACATTTCTGTTCTCCTGTTTTAGAATTTAGGAACACAACATGAGATCCACTGCTGATAATTGACATCCTGAAAATTTTGATGTTAAAATTCCATGAACTGCTACTATGAAACTAAGTCTAAATGCATACAATCATTGGTGAGGAAAAATTAGGTGGGAAATTACAAGTACTGTAACAATTGAAAGATTAGAATTTAAAACAAGAAGAAAGGAAAACACAATTCAAGTTGTTTTACTCACTAACGAAATGGATTTTAAAATTATGTCTTCATACTGCGCAAGATCACGATACCTACATAGTACCTATATAATGCAAATGGTGCAGATTTCAGACACAATTTCTTGATATTGGCCTCACTACAGCAGACTTCACCCCTATTATATATATATAATGTGACCTACTAGCTAGAATACAGTATTATGAAGTTGTGAATTTTCAGAACTGTCCGATATAAAGATGACAATGCGCATTAGAATTAGAATTATCTAAAACTGCGCCGATTAACCATCACAATTCCAGACAGAACCCCTTTTCACATTACTACTCATATAATGGTATTCACCAAAATATGTCTGGTAATTCTTAATTATATGAGTGGTTTTTCATAAATAAATATTAAAAGTACATTATTTTCAGAAAGTACATTATTTTTGTAAGCGCCGAAAACTCGAATAGAAAAATCGTGCAAAATTGTCCTAGTCGTCTACAATACGAGCGTGCTAAATCAATCTACAGTCAATCTTCGAGATTTTTCTGAAAAGGCCCCTGACAGTTGAAATCTACCTGATTCGATGTATTTTCGAATGCTGATTTCCGAATCACCCCACATGACATCGGCGAAAAACTGTCTCGATCACGTGTTATGACCATGTGAGGGAGCTGGGGTTAAGGTTTCACCATATGCTTCAGTTTTGGATTGGGTTAGGATTAGGGTTGGGATCAGATTATATAGGGTTATGATTTCGAATAGTCATTCAGAGCCACCTAGAGGACGTGTTTAATAAGTCACGTGACAGTCGAGTGTAGAGTGATTAATCATCATCCTATACATGCTACAATACGCGAAGTCGTCTACAATATGGGAAAATTGAGGAATTGGACGACTTAAAATGATCGAGCGTGCTAAATCACTCTACAGTTTTTTTAAATAAAATATTCAAACAATATACACATAATATATCACTCTACAGTCGATTTTCGAGATTGTTCTAAAAGGGCCCCCGACAGTTGAAACCAACTTCAATCGACGTATTTTCGGATGCTGATGCCGAATCACTCCCCATGACATAGGGTTAAAATGTTCTTCTGACGAGATATTGGCGAAAAACTATCTCGATCACGTGATATGACCGTATAAGGAAGTTAGTGTAATTTCTCGTTAGGGCTAGGGTGTCAGCATATGGTTTTGTTAAGGATTGGGATCAGATTAGAAGGTCATTCAGGACCAGCTAGAGAAAGGGTTGAAAAAGTCACGTGACAGTCGAGTACAGTGTAGGGTGATTAATCATCATCCTAAAATGATACAGTAATCTGTTCCCTTGATTTACATAAAAATTATACCAATCGAATCCACTTCACTCAAGAAACACCACTGTCGTCTACTTTTCGCACGGTGTAGCTGAATTAAATTAAACAGAAGCGCTCGATTCGTACCGATCTGATATAATTAATATCGAGTGCAACATAACACGGTTGTGATGCGCGGCGGGATGATCGGCTGCATTTATTAATTATGCGAAACTTGACAAAAATATTAGTTCCTCGTTAGTAATTGAATATTAATTAAATGCATACCGATAGATTAAATATTTTTGGTCTATGTAGATCACGAATGAATATTTTACGTCAGTATATCACTGATCACGCCACACACCATAGCATAAGATTGAAAACAGTTTTCAATCTTGATAGTCATCAATTGAATTGCTTGTTTTGAATTCTTCTCAGCTCATTGTTTGGAATTTAAACATTCAAAATAAAATAAAACTGTCGCATCACATCATATTTGGAAATTTCTCATTTCACTTTGCGTCATTTTATGGCGCGCGTTGCATTCAGGATCACGCGCGCAGCGCAGATCAATTTAAATCATAATATTTTGGTTGCACTAGTTGACGAAAGTGTGTGCTTCTGAACAAATTATGCATTCGGCGTTCGCGTGTTCCATCATATCGGAATAGTATGCTAATTTTGACATTCGGCATAGCAACGGAGATAGCAACAGACAATTACGAAGCAGTAGTATGACAGGTGTGGGACTTCTGATGGCATTTCTGAATACAATTTACGACGATTCAATCCTGTGAATAATTTTACCAACTATCGATGAGGCAATGACTAGTAAAACAATCATTTAGCTATATCGTTTGAAAAATAGTTTCTAATACAATAACGTCAGCAAATAAGACATGATAATAAATCATTCAAACATTGTAAATAATACTTTGTTATGTCACACCATGCATTAACATAATAATTACACGGTGCTTGGTTAAAATAATGTGAAAAGTCATCAACAAGAGCGACGAACGTTGGATCTGGTTTAAAACTTACATTAAGACTAAACATTTCGTTACAATATGATATAATACAAAATATATTATCCACTGCAATTATGATATTTCGTATCGAGAAAATATTTCATGTGTAGACCACGTTAGTAATACGTTACATTGTGAAAATTGATATCTAGTGCATCACAATAGGCATGAAATTGTCAATACTTGAGTTAAAGAATCCTAAACCCTGTATAATCCGCTGATATCATAAAACAACTTCAGAAAAATAGCCTTTAAAGTAAACGAGCCTTTAAAGTAAATGCACTGCACTGCGATTCCATGTAGCCATGGTTACTGAATTGATACGCTGTGAAGTGTAACTAAAGGTGGCAAGACACATGGCCACCCACCACTAAGCCACTTATATTTATATTATATAATTTGTAGTGCTCTTCTGAAACAGGTGGGAAATACCGTTTCTCCGCATTCAATTGTAGGCATCTTGCTAAGTAGGAATCAGTCCACTCTAGATGGACAAGTCGAAAGCAAGCTTTGCACGAATTTGTGGAAAAGTCAAAGTTTTTTAACTAGATTTATCGGAGCCCTGATTGTCAGGAATCCTAAGTATGTGCTTTACATTAACAGTGAATATATTTCTGACTGATCATAAGTATGGTTGTTTCGTCAGAAACTGCTAGAAACATACATAGCTATCACTATACATCACTATACATTGTGTGAAATTTATGATAATGATACAAAATTAATAATTTAAAATTAACACGGCAGAGATGTGCAAACGCCAAACCCCCGAAGTTTGATAAGGTATTACTATTAACGGGAGTTGGTCTAAATAAATCATAATTAAATCTGATCCAGTTAAATTATCCAGTTAAATCCAGTAAACCATAAATTCTAAAATAACGAACCTAGAAAGCTAGAAGTAGGATAATATTCACATATCAGTCTCCCAAACAAAGACACAGCTATCCTCTCCACCGATAGACACTAAATATTTGTCATTGTATGTAAACCTAACTCCTGTCACGTGTGCAGAATGCCCAAAATACTTCTTATGTTTTGCATATTTTACTCGACTGGGATACTCAAACAACTTAACAGTCCCAAAATCGTCTCCCGTAGCTACAATGTTTGACCCGTTGGCAACAGATGCTGAGTTGACGTCGAATTTTGAGGAGACCTGTGGCCAGATCCCCACCAGAGACTCACCTAACACACTGGTTGAGGAATGTAGGAGTAGATCCGAGGGAGGAGAATCACTTTTGTAGCCTTCAGGTGACTTTATGTAAACAATCTCGTAAGTAGAAAGAGAGACCGCTAGAAGCTGACTGTCAGCTGACCAGTCCATCTGGATAACTGAGCCAGATAAGTTTTTACAGACAGTTATTCTGGTGTATGTGGAACTAACAGGCGTGACACTGTACAGAGCCACAGTAGCATCGTCACTGCCCACCGCCAGAACTTTACCTTTAGGACTGAACCTCACCACCTGCACTTGCTTAGAGCTATCTCTTATGGAGTGTACTTGTTGTAAATTGGGAGACAGTACCAGAACTGACCCATCTAAACACCCAACCGCCAGCTGACTGCCGTTGGGATGGAAGTCAGCACATAGAGCAGCTGACTTTATCGTCACCCCGCCCTCCATGACGGAGGAAGCTAAATCCCACAGTTTGACGGAGCGGTCACTGCTGGCGGTAGCGGCGATCTGTTTGGTGGGATGAACTGCTAGTCCCCACACTTCCCCACTGCCGTGGCTCTGCACTATCACTGACACGTGACCAGACCGCTCGTTTACAGTTAGCACCTCTCCCTTGCTCGTCCCTATTGCAATGCAACCACGTGTCCGGGACAGAGATTTCACAACACCATTTGGTGCTGCTGAGTCTATAGGGAACGTCTTGGAGCGCTTCATGGCCTGGTCCCATAGCTTCACAACACATTTCCCTGTCTTTTCTTTGCCACCCGACACGATCAAACCATCTTTTATTGTGGTGAAAAGTGAGAAGACAGGGCCAGTGTGACAACTAGCAATGACACGTGCGAGTGTTGAATCCTGCCACACGAACACGCTCCCAGTAATAGTACCAGTGTACGTGATCCCTGCAGTACTAAACGCAACAGATAACATGGTCTGCATCTTCACTCCTAAACTCTCTGAGATCTTCACTTTTCTGGAGACGATGTCAGTGCCGGCTAGACTCCAGAAGTTAACATGTTTCTGACCTACTGATACAAGCTGAGTGTCGCTGTCAGGACGAAACTCGCAGTGTAGAACACGAAGGGCAGTGTTCTGTACTGTAGCGAGACGAGTTCCATCTACCCAGTGCCATATAGCCATGGAATGCAGCTCATCCAGCCCAGCAGATACCAGGAGCTTGCCACTGGAGCTGAAGTTCACAGTGCACACACCACCACTGTGAAATCCCTGCAATATGGAGACAGTCTGCAGAGTGTCAGCGTTCCAGACAAGGACCTGTGCTTTTGTGCCCAGCTGTCCGGTTGCCACAATGTTCTTGTATTTTGGGTGTTTGTTGACACTCAGACAGAGGACATCGTCTGTGTGTTCCGTGTAAAAGCGCTGCTCCGAACTCTCCAAGTCAGTGACGATACCTAACCCAGCTGCATGGTACACAATCTCCGTCTCTTTCTCCAGGAAGTGTATGTTGTGCCGCGCATCGTACCCCCGGTACCCAAACACGTGCTTTAGTTTCAGAGAGTTAACATCATGAGTGGACTTTCTACGAGCCACATTACAATCACTCGTCTGTTGACGAACAATCTTAGTTTCAGCTGTGTAGGTGGTGTTCTTCAAATCAGGGCGGACACCATCACCCACCACCCTGATAGGGTTGGAGTATGTCTTCAGATTGTAGTTAATAGAACACTCGAACTCCACATCAGAGTCGTAACCATCCTCCTCTACCTCACTCTCTGACTCGTCACTCTCCCCGTTACTCGCTGTTAAACCCCGGTGTGACCACAACATCACTGATGTGTCTCCACCACCTGTTGTCACAAGGAAGTTGTCACTCTTGGTCCACCGAACGTTGGTCACGTGTGCGCTGTGTCCCGCATACTTCTTACACTTAGCGTTCTTCTGGAGGGCAGGGAAATCAAAGAGTTTGACAAATCCGAAGTCGTCCCCAGTGGCGATAATGTTACCGTTGTGAGAAACATGAGCAGCGTTAACATCAGTCACATCACTCGGACTGGGCCAGATACCAGTGCACTGGGGAGACAACACACTCGTCCATGTTCCCCAATCCTGAGAACCAATGTCCGAGGTTTTCAGAGGAATGCGGGCTCCTTTAGGAATTTCGTAAAATAGCACCTCTTTTGCTCCAGAGTTAGTCATCAGCAGACTCCCCGACCTATCCCAGTCCACGTGGGTGATGTAACTGGAGGCTCCTTTGCAAACACAAACTCGTTTAAAGTCAGGTACTGAGTAAATGTCTACAAAGTTGTCGTTAGAAGCCACTGCTAAGAACTTGTCTTGGTTTGGAGAAAATGCTAAGTCAGATATGTTTTCTTTTCTGTGTTTAAACGACGCTACCAGAGTGTAGTCTTCTGTTTTCATGATCTCAACAGAGCCTGTTTTGTAGCCAACGGCAAGGAGATCTCCTGAATTTGAGAAACAAACAGACCGGGCCTCTACCGTCAGGGATTTGTTCAAAACTAGTAACTTCTCAGCTGCATCCCATACTTTGAGTGTCTTATCATCGCTGACAGTAGCAAAGACTTGTTCAGTTGGATGGGGCCCTAGACCCCACACCTCTCCCTCCGCATGACCACCGACCAACAGTTCCACGTGACCACTCTTTTCAATCTCGAATATATTCCCTTTTCTTGTGCCCACGATTATTTTACCTTGCCCGAGTGCTATACCCCGAACTGCTTGCACGGGGTTCATCATTAGCATTGGATTCTCAGTTTTAAAAGTTGCTAGCGAATATTGTTTGAGAAGAGCTTCAAAAGTATCGTCCCATAAACATACAGTTCCATCTTTGCCACCGGTGACATAGCCTCTGTCCAGAGCACAAATAGCATGGATTGCGCCTTTGTGGGCCTCTACAGTTGATTTTAATCTCGGACCATCCCAAATGTAAACCAAACCATTTTCACCGCCACTGAAAGTTAGGTCTCCTGTCTTTGAAAAGGAACAACATAGCATTGTGCATGCTTTACCAGATTTTCCGAATATCCCCCGCTTTGATGTCAAACTTGCTCCTTTCATAGTCCAGAAACTAATATGCCTCACTCCTACAGATACCAAGCTCTCATTCGAGCCAGTTTTCCATTTCAGGGAGAATATTCTAGCCTTGTTTCCTCGAACAGAAGATAACTTCTCACCTTTTCTCCAACCCCAGATAACAATAGTGTGGTTGTCGTCCAGTCCGACTGAAGCAAGAAGTTTTCCGTCTGAACTGAAATCTACCGAGCACACCCCCCTTTGGTGCTGTCCCTTCAGGATGGATATCGTGGTAGTTTTAGTAATATCCCAAACATGTATTGCGGGATCTCGACCAACTTGGCCGGTGGCAGCATAATCTTTCATGGGGTGAAGAGCAAGACAGAGGATGTCATCAGTGTGTTTATTGTAAAACCTCTGAGTGTGGTTCTCACTGTCATACAGGATCCCAAGTGCAGCCACGTGGTACACAATCTCCTTCTGGGCAGTGAAGTGAATGTTGTTCCTGGCATCGTATCCTCGGTATCCAAACACGAAATCCAGGAGGAGACCCCCATCAGGAGCAGGAGGTCTGGTCACTGCTCCTGGTCCTTTCTTCCTTCCTCTAGCTTTGATAGTATCTTCCTTGTATCTTGGTCTATCATACGATATCTGAGTTTCCTCCTCTAGGTCAGAGTCCAGTTCAGCATCGGAAGTATCAGATTCTTCATCACAAGAGTCCACAGTTTGGGAGTGTCCTTTAGGGACCTCCATTCCCTGGTAGACCTTCCATTGGAACACAGCGTGATCCTCACCCCCTATACTGATCGCTATTTTCTTAGAGTGGTTAAAACGAACGTTGGTCACGTGAGCGGAGTGTCCGATGTAGCGTTTAGCTTTACTACCCGGGGCATCACAAGGGAAATCAAACAACTTGACATTCCCATAGTCATCACCAGTTACAGCTAGCTTAGCAGTCTGATCCACGTCAATAGCGTTAACATCGTTCACATCCTTCATGAACTTAGGGTAGATCCCCTGAACCTGGGCGCCCATAACCCGGGTATAGGTACTGGCTTTAGAGTCCCCCGAGACCTGTCCAACTTCAGCTGAAGATGAGATGGAGAATATCTTAGTCTGGTTGGTGCCAGCGTTTGTAAAGAGGTATTCTCCGTCATCAGACCAGTCCATGTGGGAGATGAAGTCGGTGTGACCTCGGAATATGAGGGGTTTTGCAAAACCTGTAGAGGTGCTGAACACTAGGCACTAGACCATCGTTGTAACCTGCAGCTATGTAGTCACCTGAACAAGTTTGGGATCAATTACTAAGGTCAAGTTATTAATGTGCTGTGTATAAAATAATTTAATTTAAGCATTCAAAACCTTAATATTTTATCTCCGTTTTCTACAGTCTGGATAGTTTTAAATAGGGATTCGGCACGAAAAGAAGAAAATAACCGTAAGCTACAATTTCAAACCTTTCGGGGAAAATTTGATTTCGTGTATAGCCTCCCCAGTTCCGATCAACTCAGCTATCTTCTTCATTGCCGGAAACTCTAGAAGTACAAGATCACCGTTCTTTAGCCCTGTAGCTAGCTCTTGACCGTTTGGTGAGAAAGCGAGGGCACGCACAGAGTCTGACATGGTAGATAAGGAGGTTGTAAAGTGCTTGGTGGCATCCCAAACCCTTATAGTACAGTCATCACTCCCTGAAGTAGAACAGCAGTTCAATAATATGATTACTTAGTTGTTGATTTTAATCAGAGGATATAATAATTGTTTAACAAAATCTCTTCGTCTCGGTTCGCCAACTTTTACAATTGCATCCAAAAATAAATTGATTAATTAATCATTGATTTTAATCAGAGAATATATTAATTATTCAACAAAGTCTCTTCGTCTCGGCTCGCCAACTCTTATAGTTGCATCAAAAAAGGTTTTCGGTGCTTTTTCTGTAGTTATATTCATTTCGTTTGACTGCTATCTAGGTAAACTATAGGTAAAAATATAATATTAATCATAAGCTAAAATGTATTAATCTTTGTATTCTAAATGGGGAAAAGAATAAACATTGTCAGTCAGTCGAGAAAATTGTCAGTCAGGCTATATGGCAGCTTTGTAGATGTTGTGACAATGCTAGTAGTGGTCCCAGGCTTGCGACTATACTATATTGACTATATTCTGGTGCTATAGCCTATATATTGAACTGGGCAGGTATAAGATTGGCCAGGTGTTTGGCTTAAATTGCTGGCCCTAAAAATTATATATTTTAACTAGATCAGTAAATAACCTCCCTTTAATAACCTCCCTTCCATTCACTAAGACGCATATGGCTCACCTTTTTAAATATAACAGCAGGTGCAAAATATGCTTCATACAGTGAATAAACGATCACGTGAACTAGCAGCAGCTTTATTCCAATAGTAATTAGTGGAGGCTATAACCATTATTGCAAGTAATTTATACTGGCCATATCTTTCAGTTTAATACCTCTGGAAGATATTTCTCAGTAGACGTTGACTGTACGCAGCTTAAAGTGACCTGATTCGTTCACTGTTTTGCCCAACCATCTCGATAACAATGATCACCACTTTGCTAGTACTGCAAGGGAGGAACTCAACACCCATCCCTCACCACACCCCAGGATGTAGACTTAATACAAGGCACGTCTACAGAGTGTGCGACTGTGTGCTGGCTACATCCTTCTGTGCTTGCCTTATAGTTGGACTCCCGGGAAACTTCCTAGCCCTGACACACTTCCTTCAGTCAAAGAAACGGAATCTGTCAACTCTGCTGTATATTGTGGCTTGTTCCATCGACCTTATCAGCAGCGTTATTCACCTTCCCGTTGCTATGAGTTTATTCAACGGTCGACAAGCTGGTGTAATGGAGAGTGGTGTGTTCTGTTCTGTTTGGTACTTTATCTTGCTATCAGTTCAACTGATGTCCATGTATGTTGTAATGTTGCTGTCAGTTTCCAGAGCTATTGTTATATTCTCACCATTTTACAGAATCAACAAAAAAGCTGCGCTAATGTCGATCCCAGTTTATTTCATTTATCAAGCTGTTTGGATCGGTCTCTCGTATTTGGTATCTTACAATTCCTACGTCATATCGGTGGGATTCTGCCAAAGAGTATTCAGTAAAAAAGGACTTGTCAAGACTTTGTATCATGTAAACTATAATATATCAACTGGATTTCCTCCAATTCTCGTACTTTTATCATTTTTGGCGTCAGTAACAAAGCTTCAGAAAAACACCGACAACTCATCCATTGGAAGTGAAAATGTTTCCAGTAGAAACAACAGAAACGCCTCCTGGGCTATCATGTACTTTGCAGCCGTCTACCTGGTGTGCAACTCCTTCACTTTCGTCAATACTGTCCTGTACACGCTAACAGATGTTTTGAATAACGATTATCCGGGACAAATTTACTCGAGCACTTTCATGTTCTTTTACAGCTGGCCGTTAAGTGAGATTTTGTGTACCGTTCTAAATGCTACCCTCAACCCGCTCCTTTACTTTTGGAGGATGAGGGAGGTGAGATTGAGGGTGAAATCTTGGGGGAGACAGATTCTTCAAATCAGGAACTGATCTTACACTACAACTGCTCTCTTATCTTATCTTCTCTTTAACGTGTCCAAATATTCCAGGAATGTTCTATGGCTATTATATGGAAAATATTAATGTGGCTCTTACCATGTGTTGTTCAGCCGAATAAATTTGTATAACTATTATATTATAATATATTCTAATTTATTTCTTTAGTTTAGTTATTATTACCTGGCCACTCGAACTCAGTATGCAACTTATATTGCAATACCACTGTTTCCATTAGTTGTATATCAAAATAGTATGATCAATATAATTTTACATGCACCTAAATTGTAACGCTTGATTTTCATGTATAACAATTATTTGAATTTCCAAATAAAATATTTAACTTTATGCACCCGCTACAACAAATAAATTGGCAGATATTCGAAGAATAAATTTTGGAAAGCTTACCAGTAACAAAGAAGTCCTTCTTGGGATGAGTAGCTAGGGCCCACATAGCACCTTCACTATGTCCACTAACCAGAATCCTAGGTCTACTTCTGTCCTTCACATCTACATCTATAATACAGCTTGTCTTGGTTCCCACTACAATGTGATCTTTATACCACACTATCGATCTCAAACACAAGTTTTCAGCCCCGAGGTTGGTGATTGACAGGTCGATTGTGGTGATGAGAGTCAGGTTGGAGCTCCATAGTTTTATGGTACCGTCCTTGCCGGCACTGGCGATACCCTCCGCTGAGCGGTGCATGGAGAAGACAGCTCCGGTGTGAGCATTCGAGATTATAGCTGTTAGTTGTCCGCCGCTCCAATGGTATATGTCTCCTGTAAAATGTGATTTTTACATAAGAACGGGTTACATTTAACACGGTGTATACTTTTAAGATTCAGATCATCACATCCTAAACTATTGCCAGGTATTGCTACTGTACTGGTACACTATACTATTCATAACTGGTTTTTCATCCCATCACCTATAAAGGAATGCTGCTAACCTACAAAATAACAATCCCACTTTTAAAGCCTCCCCACCTGAAAGTGTTCCTGAGAAACAGTTTTCCTCCTCCCCGAACACCACACACATCTGACTCTGAATCTCTCCCGTCTTGTTTATCATCTTCCCTTTCCGTATCTGTAATGCGTTCCCGCAGTGTTTCCAGAAGTTTATGTGTTTAACACCACACGTGACCACTGCACTGTCGTCATCTGAAATTAGAATAGATTTTAGCTTACTTCTCTGCACTACTAGCAGTATTTATTTATAACAAGAACTTGATAAACCAATTCAATTTCATAACTAATTGATTAAATCTAAATCTGAATCTAACCTGGCTTGAATTTGATATCGAAAACTCTATCAGTCTCCATCGAATGCTTAGCCAATATCTTCCCTCTCCTCCAATCGTATATACAGAATGTGCTGGTAGCAGCTAGATCGATACTCCCCAGCAAGTTACCAGAAGAGCTGAAGGCCATAGCAGTGATCCCAGCTGAATGGTTACCGGACAACACCGACTCAATTACCAGGGTCTCAGAATCCCAGATGTATATTACTGGAGAACTTCCTATCTCGCCCGTAGCTACTATCTTCATATCCGGGTGTGTAGTAAGGGATATGATATCGTCTGTGTGCTCGATGAAGTGGCGCTGTTGCTTCTTTGTAGGGTCGTAGACTACAGCAGCTGCTGCTACGAAGTAGACTATCTCTCCAGAAGCAAGGTATTGGACATTTTGTCGGCACTGGTGTCCCCGGTATCCGTAGATCCAGTCGAGACGCAATCGTGCCTGGGGCACTGACATGCCGCCTATGAAACACGCAATTAAAACATGATTGTTATTAAGAATTACCATTAATCTGTCGATATCTTTTTAATGTATGTTTCTTTTAATAGTCACGTATATAATGTGAAACTATTTTTCTGCGATCCAAGTGAATTTCATCGATTTTATTTCTGTCACTTCAAATTAAGTAGGTTATTTAATCAGAAAATAATTTGATAGTTGATAAATCCAGTAAATCGAACATTTATGTACATTTCATATTTATAGATCAACAAGAACAAAGTTATACACAACACAATCAAATCTAGGTTTGCGCAGCAAAATTCGTTTATCTACAATAATCATAATAACACATTTTGATACCATAATATGCATGAAAAACAATATTATGAACATTAAATACGGCTGGTTTTAAGTATTAATGAAAGTCCCTGCCTGCTTTATTTTGTATATAAACTGTGTATCAGAAACACAAGCATACATCCAGAGAAAATGTAAAAAGTATTATATACATGATATGTGGACATTTTTTTTGGAATTGAAACAAAGACATTGGCATGTCAATTACATCGCAGCAAGGCACTGTATTCACTTCAGAATAACTCAGAGAAAACGTTTAAAGATCTAAACCACATATTATATTCAAATATAACAGTTCCGCTCGTGATATAGTTCAAAACACAATGTCTAAAATTACTCAGGAAGCAAATCATCACCCAGCTCCTCATCTCCAAAGTCATCATCCTCCACAACTCTGCTCCTTGCGGCAGTTCGAGGTCGTGGTGGAAGATCTCCTATCGGATCAGAGTAAGTCGCGTCAACAGGTTTCTTGCGCCCACTATTTGTGTCTCTGATTGCAATCTCCTGATCCTGCTTTCTCCCTGAGTTCTGGCGTCCTGACGGTTGTCTCTGTCCCGAATTCGACCTCTCACTCCCCCCACTTCCACGGTTACGACCACTTTTTCGACCTGAATTTTCCCTCCGCTGTTCTCGAAGCTCCTTTGATTTCTCTGCTTTCTTTAGCTTGTTTGAATATTCCTGAAGTTCTTTGAGTCCTAGATCCGTGCAGATCCTTACCAAAAACTTGAGACATTCGACATTATCTGGGAATCTCATGTGATCTTCTTGTAGGTAGCAAGGGACTGCTGATAATTACCGCTTCTTCTGTAACAACTAGCTATCATCAACTGCCACTTTACTTCTTGAGGTTCGATTAGTGAGGCTCTTTCGAAGTATTGGATCGCTTTCTCATGGAACTGCCCATCAATGTAAAAAGCACCAAGCCAAGAGATTGTTGAGATATCAGAAGGAAAGTATTTATGAGATTCCAGGAAGTACTGGAAGGCTTGAGATCGATCGCTATCTTGGTCGTATATCGCTCCAATCTGTGAAAGAATACCAGGGTCTGTGGGAACAATTGTTATGAGATGCATGAACCAATCAACAGACTGCTGGATATCTTGTTTCATGTCATACAGGGCCGCTATCTGATATATTACCTCAGGACAGTTGTTCAGTATTGTGTGTAACTTTTCAAAGCATTCCAGTGCATTGTCAAGATTACCCATCGTTTTGAAGGTTAGCCCTAAGTTATACAGTGCTTCAGCACAACCCGACTCGATGGCAAGAGATTCTTGATAATAATCCCGGGCTTTTTCCAGTTCACCAGCCTTAAAATGAATGTTGCCACGATTTACAAGTGCACACTGATTATATCTATCACTTTCAATTGCTTGGTCAGCATACTTTTCAGCTTCGTTTGATTCACCTTTCAAGAAATACAAGAACGATAGATTGTTGGCAGCAGTAGATGCAATTTTAGAGTTCTTCTTTTCAAATACTTTGAGGGCTTCGACGGCTTTCTGGAAATCCTTTTGCTTGAGAAACATGATGGCCTTGTTGATTTCCAGCTCGCTGGCCAGTTCATTGTGCTGAGATTCTCTTACACAATCCACACACCAGTCAAAACCAAGAGCCTCAGTACTTTCAATAACAGGAGCAATAAGTTTTGCTGCTTGAATTATTGATTTTTCAGCTAACCTTTTCTTATTTCTTTCGATTTTTCTAAGCTCGTCATCTTTAATTGCTTCAAGTACTAATGACGAATGAGGGTCATCTCCATACTGCAAATACCGATCGTCATCTTCAATTCCTTCAATTGGCACTGTTAGTAGCCTGTGAAAAGCTTTCTTCATCTTGTCCTGATCACCAATAGCATAGTAGCAGAGAGTCAAATTGAAAGCAGTTCTAAAGTCAGGCTTCGTTTTCATGATGTGTTCAAATGACACAATGGCATCTGAATATTGTGGTGGGCTCATTTTGATGAAAGTGACTCCAATGTTTTTTAGTATCTTGATCCTCATGTGGGTGTGTGTTTCAGGAATTTGGTCCAGAGCTCGGCGATACATTCTGATTGCTTCTACATGCTTTCCCTGCTTGAGCAAAATGTTCCCAAGATTAACTCTAAAACGACCAGCATTACTGAAAGCTTTGTTTTTTATGATAGCCATGTATGCTGTTTGGGCTTCTTGGTACATTTCACATGCCTCAAAAACATTACCTGAATTGAAATAAACAGAGTAAGTTAAGTCCAAGTATGTTTGTTCAGAAAATCCTTGCAGATCACGATGTCGCTGTAATATTTTCTCCTTGGTTACAGCCTTGTTGGCCTTTTCAAGGGCTACTTTATGTTGCCTGTTTTCCAGAGAAAAAGAACTCTCATCAATCAAATCCATTATTTCTTTCTCCATCTTCTTGATAGCTGCCTCTGGAGTTTCTTCCAACTTGGCTTCAGCAGCAGATCCGCGGAAGTCAACAGCTCCTGGTTTGCGATTAGCTGCTCCAGTAGAAAATCCTGCAGCAGTAATGGCTGTGATTGGCCTTCCACCAGCGCCTTCCCCTCCTGCTGTTGCAGTCCCCCTTCTTGACCCTAACACTCCTCTAATAGCTGTGGGTGGCGGTTTACTAGCAGTTTTTGTGCCAAATCCAGCACCTCCACGAGATTGAGGAACGACCAATGGCCCTCTTCTTTGACCATAACTTGTTGTGACAGCTTCTTGAAAGACGTCTTCATTTTGTAACACTGACAAGTCTTTGACTTCATCAAAGCCGGAGTAAATGTCTTGGTCCATGATAGCTGAAAATATTTGGTTAGTTCTGTGTAGTTTTGAAGTCAACGATTAATAGAAATTATGACAATTTTACCAAGCAATCACACAGAAGTCAAACTGTGTTATTCTAGGGCAATTTGTAGATCAATTTCTTGCAGCAACTGACAATGATTTGAACTTATTTAATGAACAGAATGGAACTTCCCAATAATTGTTTATTTTCAAATCAATTCTTAATTTTCAAAACTTGCCAATTAAAATTACTTAAAATTACCAAACATGTTTCAGTCCAGTAGATTTAAATCAGTAAGTACAAGGAGATGAGTTCGTTCAAAAAGCTGCAACATACTTTAGAAATCAAAGATCTAGATGTTTACTGTTTGATCACAATGTACATTTTCTTGTCTCAGGAAATGGCTCCAGTAGCCTTAATCACAGCAAATGGTTATTTTGCAATTCAATAGATAAAACCCGATAGATTATATGATGAGTCACTTTTCCACAACATTCTGCTGTCTAAGAAAACTTAAATAATGCAAGGACCATCATCATGTGATATGAAAAACTCTCCAGTCACCCCACATTTGACTCGACAAAAGGTTACAAATTCATTCAGTTTCTTGTAAGACGTATTGAGATTTAGACCACTTGAGACTTCTGTTCAAAGCCCTCTGTGCTGTCGCAGCAATTAAGAAATACTTTTTCAATAAGGGATGCTCTGACAAGTTGTTCATGAGAAACCAAAAAGTCGATAATTTCATAATTCAATTTTATGATATCTACCAACATGAACAGTTATGTAAAACAATGAGTTATTTTATAAAAATGTGTAATTGGATGAATAAGCACTTTAAGAAAGAGCTGTACAAACGCTAATGGGAAACAATCGTGAATGACCTGTCTTAATTTCTCAAAGAAAGCTACAAACTAGTGCTCCTTTAAAAATAGCATCCATAAAAGAGCATCCATCTGGCTGTACTGTCCACATTCCCCTTCAAAGCTTTCTGGTCCCCATTGGACAGATCGATCACAGATGTAAGCGACAGAAGCATTACCCTTAACTACATGGTCGCCTTCCATCCATGCACAGTGCAGTGCGATAGAAATCATGGAACCACTTGTGGTTAAGCTCTGAAAAAAAGTTCTGAATGTATTAAAAAACTTTCCCCAGTTAGTTTTGTATTATTATTATCGAACTTTAAAACAAACCCAAAGTAGTTAAAGAAAACATCCTAAATGTCTGATAAGTCTACGCAGAAGAACATTACTAAGTATCTAAACTATCAGGGCACCAATACTGAAAACACTATTTATTGAAAATTATACAATTGGCGCCAAAGATTTCTGTTCAGGGCAGTCAGTCGTAGCTCTGTTAAATCGGTCAAACTATTCATCACAATATTTCTTTTATCCAAATCGTTCAATATACATTTTAAAATATTCATTTGATGTCTCCCCAATCTGCCTTTCATATTACTCATGCTCTCAACGGCAAAACTCAACGCAAGTTGGGGCGGTGAGTTACAATCGCTATAGAATAAAACAAATAAATATTATCAGACTATACATGCTGCATGAGTAACTGGTGGATAAGCCTTCGGTAAAAACGGACCCGGAAAAGTCAATGCAGCACTCGGGTCTTTGGTATTGTCGTCGGTATATTGTGCATTATCTACGTTCTGCTTTCATAGTTTAAACAATAGTGAGTTCTAAATGTACAGCTTTAAATTGACTAAGTATGAATGAATGAAATACCTAACAATCTGCACTCCTATTAAACAATTTTTAAAAAGCATCACTCGTAGTGATGTATGATTTCTAGAAACTTTAAATTAAATTTGGCGCTTACAGGTCCTCATGATCATGTGATCGCCGCATGAGGTTCTGCAAATGCGCGGGGTACCTTCAAGCTTAAATTATTCACCTTACTGAGGCAGTAAACCAACGCACGGCTTTATTTTTATGATATGTTATGTTTTCATTGTTATTAATAAATGTGTGAAAACTGGCCACGGGCCTAAATATTACATATCAATCAATTACAATTCATTGATATTACCAATATTAAAAACTATCGAAAATATTCAAGAAAGTATTCTCTAGCCAAAGGGCTCAATATTTAAATCTAAATCTTCAATATTGTCTTGTTATTAATAAATACAAAAATTTAGATTTGTTTTCCTAAAAAATTTGTTTCTCTAATTTTATCCCAACCCTAACCCTAACATGCACAATCCCTAGCAAAATAGCATATTATTTATTATTTGCTACCAACGTCAGCCTTGACTTACCATTTATTGTAATTGGTACAGCATATATCAAAATTAAAACACTGTTTTCGATCTGACGGGTGATGGGCTCTCTCTGATGGGACATATAGTTCTAGGGGGTACCCGGGGTACGAGTTAACGAATAGTGTTCGTGTCCTTCCACAATCCCCTCTCATTGTGTTTTTGACGGAGGAGGAGCCTAGTTCATCCGTCTGCATCGCTTAATCGAGTTAAAAATTTAGCCAATAACAAACTAAATTACATGTTATACTGATATCAGATGTAGAGTTTATAACATACAAATTCTAAATTTTTGACGGCTGACGATGGTAAGTCGCTACGTTTAACTCGGGACTTTTATAGTCTTAAGTCTTGGAGCTCAAAATGTCTCGTGCTGTGGGCCGTATAAACGGCGCACACCACCGCCCCGCCTTACTGCTTACACTACTTCATGGTTGCGGGGCGGAGCCGGTGCCGTTTGTCTCGGCCTCGAGTGGCGAGTGCTTGCCCATCGAATACACGATTGAAACACTAATTATTTACTGGCATTCTACAGTTTCCAAAACGAAGTACGAAGGTATATTAACTTTGAGCTTTGTTTTGGCGACTGCTTCATCGGTGGGCGAGTAGGTATTTGTTGTTTAGCAGTGTTGAATATTGGAGCAATTATATAATGTATATCTCCATCATAATATAGGCTAGTGTAAACATATATAATCAATAATACAAACAAATAGTATTATATTATTGGCAACTCGCTAGATTATAAATGTTATTTAAACACATATGTTTACGTCAATTATTACTAAAATTAATATTCTTTTTGCTTTAATATAATTACATGTCACATAATTGATTAGTTGAATGAAACGTGTGCTACAAATGTCTACGCCTCACGCAGAACTGCGTACCGCTTAGTACTTCATGCTTGAGCGGTACTGCTGTTCACAGAGGCGCGCATATAATAGCACTCAATTTAATCACAAATAACGAGCGCGCGGTTTTTGGAATTTCTCCATTATTATTTTTCGATCTATTAATTAGATCGCAGTGCTCACGGCCTGTACTGCGAGAACGACAGAAATATGTTTTAAATTATTTTGCTTCTGAAATTTTGGCTCTAGTAATTAAAAAAATGCGACATGTAATTGTAAGATAACAATTAAATAGATCCTGTGCGCGGCGCCTACAGCTGACCTACGAATTTCTGAACAATTGAAAATTGTGGCTGTGTGCGCGGCGTACTGTATATGTGTTTGAAATTGAAATTTTAATTTATTTGTGAATATAACATTATGTATTGATTGTTTTGTGGTAAATAAAAATTTTTTCTTTCCTAAAAAAAATTTTCTTTCCTGTGGCTGTCTGCGCGGCGGGCTGTGTATTGTATATATAGCTGAATTCAAATTTAGATTTATTTGTAAATGTATAATAATATTAAATATGTATTGATTGTTTTGTGGTAAATAAAAATTTTGTTTTTTACTATGCTGAAACCCTAACTCTTGCAGCGGCGCAGCGCGATGCACTACTGAGCCTTAATATAACGGGTGATACTCGTAAAATATTTGTTCCAAATATTGGACCGTCGACTTGTAGCGCGATGCGTTACTGTGCAGCGCCGCGCACTCAATGAGGCTTCTGATCACAGCCTTCAATGAGGCTTCTCTGGTTAGATCGGCGAGATGCGCTACTGTGCCGCGCCGAGCTGCCATGAATTGACATCGTCGATTACCCCGTCGACGAGTCCAATTCCAAATTCGGCGCGCGTCCTGGTAGGTTCAAGCTTATAAACCTATATAATACTGAGCCACGGACCGCACCACGCATAAAATAACTATTCTCGCAACCACACTTCGGTAGATCGGCGAAATGCACCACTGGGCCTTACTGGGCCGAGCTACGAATGATTGACATCGTGAATCAAGGGCAAACAAATTATTTTACTTGTATTTTAAAACCACTTTTCTCTTTTGTATTGAAATATTTATCAAAACTTGAAAAAATGATTTGTCAACTCTATTACACAAGTTATAAACAATTGAGTTGTTTTTAAAAGTATAAAAACAATTCTAAAAAGATAACCTTTCATTTTCAAATTAATTTTTCAGAATGCTGCGCACTCCGAAACATTATTTTAGAATCGAGCGCTACTAAATATTGTTAGACACCCCGGTATAGTATGCATAGTCGTTCAACTGTTTCACCTTACAAGCTATGATGTTTTGTACTATGCTATCACCTCCGAACGACTCAGCTGAATAATTGCGAAATCCGTGATTGATGGTAAATGAAGATGAGCAAAAGGTTTTGTATCTTTTGAAGATACCATTCACTACACCTTCATTTTGGATTACGAGTTGTTTGTCTCTTTAGTTCTTCATCACCCGAATCAATATTGTTTACTTATGACATATCAGGCCCCAGTTTACGTGTACGTAAGAGGATCACAACACGATCGAAGATCTACTGGTAGGGCACCTCCTCAATTACCAATGAAATTATCGATGTAACAAAACACTTCTACCGATTAAGTCCTAATACCACCCAGTGGCTGGAATATGCAACCGGTCGGAAATTATAATTTATCACAACCTGATGTGAGTCTAGCCTCTACAGCATCTTTCACTGCCCTTTGTTCTCGCCTTTTATCATCACTTACGGCCAGGTGGCTGAGTGGTTAGAATGTCCGTCTCTTAAGCAGAAAGTTCAAATCACATTATCGCTTAGTCTAAGAATTTCAATCAATCTATTTTAAAATCT